CCCCTCCTCTCCTCCTCCGGTCCTCGCTGGCGGTGCCAGCGTCCGCCTGCACGCCCTCGGCTTCGGCCTCTAGGCAAGCCCTGCCTCCTCTTCCTCGACTCCTTCCTGCAGCACTACAAACACCGCCAGATCTACAGCGACCTGCGCATGTCGTCGCGCCGCCGCCGCGCCGCCTCGCCTCGCCTTGCCTCGCCTCACCCGCTGCAGCCGCTTGCCACAGGTTCCTCAACCTCTACACCGCCGCGCGCAGAGAGGAGCTGCGCTTGCCGCAGGCGAGAGAGGCGGCCGAGAGGCGGCCGAGAGGAGGCCGAGAGGAGGCCGAGAGAGAGAGAGGCGGCCGAGATGCCAGCCGAGTTCAGCTCCGGCGCTCGCCACGCCCTAGCCACGCCCTAGCCACGTCCGCGACACGTCCGCGACACGTCCCTTGCAGGTGGCGGTGGTGAAGGGGGTGTCGCCGCCCGCGCCGCTGCCCCGCGCCGCGCGCAGCTCCGCCTGCGCAGAGGCCGGCGAGGCCGGCGAGGGCGAGGGCCGGCGCCGCTCAGTCCGCCGCCGGCCTGCTGGCGAGGGAGGCGAGTGGGAGGGGGAGGCGGAGGCGGTGGCGGCGTCGGTGGCGGAGGCGGGAGGAGGAGGAGGGCGGAAGAGGAGGCAGAGGCGCGCGGAGAGCGTGCTGCTGCCGGCGGAGAGTGTAGTCGTGGGCGGCGGCGCAGCAGACGCAGTGATTGCCACCGTCACGCCCGAGGTGGACCTGACTGCGGCTCCGGCGGAGGCGCAGGCGGCGGAGGAGGCGCAGGCGGCGGAGGAGGCGCAGGCGGCGGAGGAGGCGGCTGGGGCTGCCGAGGGGGAGGTTGGCGGTGCTGCGGCGGCGATGCCGCTGACGGAGGTGGGTCTCGCTGCCGTGGGCGGCGGGGCGGCGGGAGGGAGTTCGGCGGCGGGAGGCAGCTCCGTGACCGGGGTGGGGGGGGAGGAGGAGGCGGAGACGGAGGAGAAGGTGGCCGGGGAGGAGGTGGCGCAGGAGGAGGAGGAGGTGAGCGACTCGGAGGAGGAGAAGGAGGAGCCGATGCAGGAGGCGGAGGAGGCGGAGGAGGCGGAGGAGGCGGAGGAGGCGGGGCTGGCGGCGGTGGCGGCGCCAGAGGCGGGCGGCGCGGCGCAGTCCACAGAGGCGGAGGCGGTGATGGCGGAGGCGGTGACGGCGGAGGCGGTGATAGCGGAGGCGGTGATAGCGGAGGCGGCCGCGGCGCGAGCGGGCGAGGGGTCGGCAGCGGAGGCGACGGCAGAGGCGGAGGCGACGGTGACGGTGGCGGCGGCGGACGGCCAGGCGGCTGCCGTGGTGGAGGGGAGCCCGGACGAGAAGGGCGTGGCGTGGTTCACGGTACACAGCGTCTGCTGCGCGGCATGCCACGCATGTGAACAGCGCCTCTTCACGCGTGCATCTGTGAACAGGCGCAGTCGCTGCCTCACATCATCTGCCATCTCGCGCCACAGCAAGACAACGACTACGACTGCGGCGAGCGCACGCCCCCCGCAGCGCACGCCCCCTCTTCTCGCGACATGAGCGAGACACGATTGCGCTGAGCGACACATTTTGCCACAGGTGTCTACATGCTCCACTTCGTCGAGTGCTCTCGCCGGCCGCCGCTGCCGACACTGCGAGCAGGCCTTGCGTTCAGCCGTGAGGTTTGCGCGAGTAGGAAACTCGCCTGTGCGGAGAGGCTGCCCTCCTTCGCCAGCGCGCAGGGGCTGGTCGACTTCTTCCCAAAGAAGCTCGTATCGCCGGCGCAGATCACCGAGCAGCGCAGGTGCGTGGCCTAGGATACAAGTCGTGCTCTCTCCCCAGTAGCCCACACACAGGCTGCTGCTGTCGACGTGGGAGGCGGAGGGAGGCGTGGCGTGACCTGTCCCGGACCGCGACCCCCGCAGGCGCATGCAGGCCGCAATTGAGGAGGAGCGGAGCCGGCAGATGGACGCGGGAGACATGGTGGAGTAGCAGCGCGGGCGGGAATCGAGCCACATGCATACATGTTGTTGTTGTCATGTTGCTTGTGTCGTGTGTGAGAGTGATGGGAGAACCCGCTGCACCAGAAGTTTCGCCTCTCTTCTGAAGTCCTTTTATCTCGTGTATTGCAGGGTGTTTTTCCCACCGCTTCGGCGTTCTCTCTGTCGCACTGTAATCTGTAACACACCAGTCGCTCTCCCGAAAGCATCCTCCCCCGCCAAGTCCAACTTCCATTGCGTTCCATCAGTAGATCCCACACGAAGCGGCAGGAGCGGGCCGCGGCGCGTGGGGGTGGGGCGGTCCAGCTCCAGGTCACGGGGCGCCGCCCGAAATAATGTGAATCTGCTCTTTCGCGGGGGCGAGACTCTCAGTAACTAACACGCAACGAACCCGCTCCCGTGTCGCCCAGTGACTTCTGCACTCGAGGAGGAGAGAGGAGAGAGGAGAGGAGAGAGGAGAGAGGAGGAGGGAGGAGAGAGGAGGCCAGTTCCAGAGCCCGCACGAGGAGGCCAGTTCCAGAGGAGAGAGGAGGAGAGAGGAGGAGAGAGGAGAGAGGAGAGGCACCGTCGCCCTCGAGCTCACGATCGGGCTGTACACCAAGCGTACACGCCGCAGCTGGTGACGGGCCCGCTCCGCCAGACGCCGCCGAATAAGCGGACCGAGGTGTTGTGGGGGTTGGTCAACTGCCTGCCAGGTGAGACCAGGCGCTATCATGGCAGCACCTGGTTTGTGAAAGTGAGACTCGGGTCGTGGCGTGACGCGACAAACTCGGCGAGATTCTCCGCGGTGACCTCGGCGATCGCCTCGAGGGCATCGGCCGTGAGGAAGGCCATGTGGGGCGTCACGAGCACGTTTGGCCGCGAGGCGAGGGCGCCGAGCACCTGGGCGACGCGACGGCGGCCAGCGTCAACGCCTGGGCATCGAGGGGTTTCAGGGGGCCGGCCGCGCGAGGAGGGGTCGTATCGCCGGATCCCAGTCCTCAGGTGTGCTGGCGCCGGCCAGGTCGTCGGAGGTGATGGACGAGTCTGTGAAGAAGAGACCGCCCTCCTCCTCGTAGACATCCATGCCGAGCGCGCCTATCGCTCGCGGAGCAATCGTGCCAACCGTCCCCTCGATTCGAGCTCCAGCTGTCGGGGCGACGCACACCGATCTTTCGCGAGTCGAGCCCCTCCACGGCGGCGGCGGTGTCGAGGAGGCCACCTCGCGAGGTGTTGATGATCATCGCGCCGGGCTTGAGCAGGCTGATGGTGTGCTTGTTGATCAGGTGTCGCGTCTCGTCCTGTCCGCAGAGAGCGCTCTGATATCCGCGGTGCGAAGCAGGAAGGCTCCTCTTCGCGAGCTTCTGCCGTCAGCGGACAATGCAGCGAGATGACGCGAGACGAGGCGAGAAGCTCCTCGAGCTCGACGTACTCGATCCCCATGTCGCGCGCCGTCTGGTTCGGGAACGGGTCGTAGGCAAGCACCCGGCAGCCCATGCCGAGGAGTATGGCCGCTGTGCAGCGGCCAATCAGGCCCGTGCCGATGATGCCGCACGTCTTACCGTGCATGTCGAAGCCGACGAGGCCGGATAGCGCATAGTTGCCTGCAAACATATGTTGCCTTGTTCGTTTGCTCAGCCGCGTCATGCAGGCAAACGAGCGCTGAGGCTCTGCCTTGGGCAACTCGAGCGCTCGCCTTGACAATCTGGCGGTTCAGCGCCATCATCAACGCAACCGCGTGCTCGGCGACCGAGTGCGGCGAGTAGGCAGGCACGCGAAGCACCACTATCCCGAGACTTTCTGCCATCGAGAGGTCGACCCTGTCATAGCCAGCGCACCGCATCGCGACGCAGCCGACGCCGCACGCCGCGAGCGCCTCCAATGTCTCCGCACCACAGTCGTCATTGACAAAGGCGCAGACCTAGAGCCAACGGGAGAGGATTGTGTGTGTGCGTGTATGAGTGTAGGCGTGCGTGCGAACACTGACCGCAGAGAGGATTGTGTGCGTGTATGAGTGTAGGCGTGCGTGCGAACACTGACCGCATCGCAACCATTGGCGAGGCTGGCCGTCACTGGGCTGAGTGATGCTTCGATCATCTTCACTGAAGAGAACTTTGCGCTCCAGCATTCCATTTGAGTACGCATGTACGGGCGCGCTGAAAACACGGCTAGATTCAGCGGCTGTGTGGCAGCGAGGTATGGAAGTACCCGAGGCGCCCGCACTGGCGCCAGGATGGGAGAGCGGCGGAGGGATAGGGAGACGACCGAGTGCAAGAGGCACAACAGCATCCCGGACAGAAAAACTCGCGGGGGAGGAGGGCGGAGCGACATCAGGTTTCTTTTTAGCCCCCCCACACGGAATACTGTACTAACGAAAACATTTGGACAGTCTTATTGGCTCTTGGGGCGATTGGAGGATGGAGCCGCGAACGAATGGATGGAGAGTGACGAGGCGCATGTAACGACCCCGGGGTCCCGATAATCGAATTGAGGAGGACGGGCGGTCCCATTGTGTGTAATGCGGGATGACATGCGAATGGAGACCTGGGCGATGCGATCTCGGTGCAGCGCCGCCTGGGTCTCACCCTCGACATGTGGCTTGCCAGAGGCCGTGTCGATGCATGGGCAAGAAGACTCGAAACAAGAAGTACCACGACGAGTGCTTCGGCGACGCTGCTGTCCACGTTCCGCGGACAGAGTGGGATGTTGAGTGGGATGTTGTCGCGTAAAGCCGTAAAATTCTAAAAAGGTGAGCCCGCTTTACGTAGCCCCTAAGTAGGTACTCTGCCTCATTACGTAGGCTATGCACAATAATTTCGGTTCTCCGCTGCCGGCCGCGCTCCTTTAATTGATACACACAGCTCGGATGATCGAAAGAAAAGAAAATCTCACCGCCGTCTCATGCCTTGCGGCCATGCAAGTCCATGCAGGAGCGCCCTGCCCAGGCGCAATGGCCGGCTCGCTCACTTCCATCTTCTCGCGATCGGCGAGCGGAGGAGGCGAGCCGCCCCGCGTGCCACATTCTACGCCACCATCCGGGCAGGTGAGGCCGCCGCCTTGCGCGGTCGCGGGTCGACGGGCGGCATGTCCTCGAAGCCGACGCGCTCAATCTTGCGCATGAGCCTCGTTGCCTTCTTGTCGAGCCGGGCGGGGCCGAACATGACCCAGAGCGTCTTGCGGAGCGGGACGTGGCACGGTGCGACGTAGTTGGTGCGCGCCGCGAAGTAGAAGTTGAAGCTCTTCTTCCCGTGCGCCTGGATGGCGCGCATGGTCTTGAGCTCAGAGTAGACGCCCTGCACAAGCTGCGAGAGGTGCCCGTGGAAGTTCGGCGACCCGTCAACGACTAACAGCGGCGACGCCGCTGAGTGCGCGATGAACTTGTTCTTTGCGGCGGCGTCTGTCGAGGTGGTCTCGATGTAGGCGACGAGCGCCGATGAATGCGACGGGTTAAATAGCGTGAGATTTGAGCTCAAGCGGATGTGTCCTGGCGACCAGACGTCGTAGTTGGCAGTGTAGCCTCCCGTGCCGCAGGCGGTGCAGTCGACGAGCAGCGAGCCTGGCTCGAGCGGCATCGTCCCCTTCTCGAGCTCGAGGCGGTTGGGGCGGACGGCGGTGACGCGCCCGAGCCGGACTACGTCCTGCACCGTGCGAAGCAAGTGCAGATCGGCGGTCGTGATCAGCGCGCCCCTGCACTGCACAGGCTCGTGGTCGAGAGTGAGGCGGCCGAGGTAGCCGGCGCGCTCGAGAGCCTTGAACGCGCCCAGGATGGAGTCGCTCCGCAGTAGCGCGTTTGTGAAGGCCAACTTGAACGGCAGAATGCTCCCACTGGCCGGGCTCCAGATCTTCTCGCGCAGTAAGTACCAGGTGTTGCGAGGAACCACCCACGAGATTTGCCGCTGGTCGACGCCGCGGCGCAGCAGGTGCAGCACGGCGTCGGTGCCCGTCTTGCCGCAGCCGAGCACGACGTACCGGCTCGCCTCCTCGGTCGGGAGGGCATTGACTGGCTTGATGGTCGCGGCGCCCTCCTCGACTGGGAAGGGCGGCGGCCGCATCGACGGCACGGTCACGTAGGACTCGGGCGTCACGAGCGTGGTGAAGCAAACGGTCTTGACCTGGCCCTCAGCGTCGGTGAAGGAGCGCGTGTCAAAGTCATAGGTCACGGAGGGGTAGAAGCGCACCCGCCCTGTCGCGACGAACTTGGCCATGACGCGGCTGTAGTACTCGAGGACCTCAGAGCCCGTGGCGAGGTCCGTCGGGCTCAGGAACTCGCGCCGTCCCTTGAACTTGCCGAGCGGCTCAGAGCAGACGCCGTATGCTCCCGAAGGCTGATGCAGAGTGACAAACGGGTACGCCACGTTCCAGTGCCCGCCCGGCGCCGGCTGCTTGTTGACAATCACGAAGGACGTCGAGTCGGTGGAGAGGGTCAGCATCGAGTCGACAAAGGACATCGTGGCCGTGCCCGCGCCAATGCACAGGTAGTCGCAGGCGAGCTTGTTGGTGCTGTCCATGACAATATGCTAAATGGAGCTCGCAAGCAGGCTGCCGACATGCAATCCCGTGACGGGGGCGCACTTTTCTTTTTGGCTTTTTTCTTCTTTACTGCGGCTCCGAGCAACGGCGGCGGCGGCTCGCTCGCACGGGCGCAGAGCTGCTGCTGCTGCCGGGCGCTCAGCGCCGCGGCGCCCCATGCATCCTGGAGCACACAGGCAACGCACGCTACCGCGGGCACGACGCAGCGTCACCATATCTCTCGCCATCGCACTGACGTCGCTGTCGTCAGTCGAATGCGCCGACGGCGCATCCGCAGCGATTCCTCTTTCGCCGCGGATCCTCTTACGCGCGCCGCCTGAAGCCACAGCAGCAACTCCTACGGGGAGCTTTCCCTCCGAGGCACTGCTGCGGGGGCGCTTCGAGCCCGTGACGTGGCACTTGGAGCAGCGCGTGAAGCGGCACTTGGAGCAGCCCTCACCATCGAGGCCGGACGCGTTCGGCTTTGGGGCAGTGGAGAGCTGTCGACCGACCCGAGTCCAGGCGCTGCCGCGGAGCCTGCCGGCACCCACTTGAATCCACTCGTCAAAGTCCTCGCCCCAGCCCAGAAACCGCACGAGCACCTGCCCGTCCTCCTCGCGCAGCACCCTAACCCGTGCCCACTTACCCGAGCTGTCTTGTGCCCAGAGCTGCGAGCCCCGGTCTTTCGCCCCGCGCTGGGCACTGCGCACGATGGCTGACTCATCAGTCGCCGCTGCGCCCGACGCGTGCGAGGAGCCGCTGTCCGAGGCCCCGGCTATCGAGGTCTCGTGGGATGCGTTGTGAGGTGGCGATGGGCTGCCGTCACAGCCGCCATCGACGTTCTCCTCTGCACAGCCAGCGGCGACAACCTCAAAGTCGCTGGAGCTCCAGGTGTCCAGGCGCTCCGTGAGCACCTCACCATTGTCGTACTCAATGCAATAGCCGCGCTTTTTGGAGTAGCTCTTGACCGCGCCAGCGAACCATCTGCGTTCACTTCCTACATCGAATCGGAAGCGCACGCGTGTGCCCGCGCTGAGCACGACTGACGACTCCATCGCGATCGGCAGCGGATGCGCCAGGCAGCCCTGCCTCCCCGGCTCGAGCGTCGCAGCCTGCGATCTAGAAACTGGATCGCTCGCCGCATGTACATGTGCGTTTTTTCGCCGGCGGTATGCTTCTAGTACGACGGCGGGCGGTATGCTTCTGTTAGGCTTCCTGGTCAGACTGTGCCGTGCTACACGACGCCCTCTACGTTGGCTCGAGTTGGGCTAAGGCTGCCTAGAAGAAAGAGGTCGACACGGAAGAAAGAGGTTCCCGCAGGCACAGGCAGGTAGGGAGGGGAAACCACCTCGCACCTGCCGCCCCCCGGGTGCGGCACCCCGAGCCACCGTCGTTCGGGGCGTCCGCCCCTTCCAGGTACGTTTTGAAAACATACTCAAGCGTGTGGGAAATCGATGAAAGGCAGCTGTGGCTTCTGACTGAATCTCCCACATGGGCTGCGCCCCTGCGCCGGGTCGACGGACGCCGGGTCGCCGGACGCGTCATTTGAGGACAGCTGCCTCACGTCGATTGAGACATTTGGCCGATTCTCTATTTTGCGCTGCAAAATTCTGTAATCGTCTATGCACTATGCCCCAGCTTGCTTTTTGCCAACAATGTACAACAACAAGCTTCCTAGAACAAGCTCCTCTTGTAGCTCGATCGGTCACACCGCCACCACCGCCGACGTCTCCCAGTGAGACGATGGAGAGGGGGGACGACAACTGCTTCAGCAGCGTGCACCTCGATCCTGGACCGTGTTTGTTATGACTTATGAGCCTTATGACCCCCCCCCCCCCCCCCAATGAACACACCAGTGAGGGAGGGCGAGGTGGACTGCTGACTGACAGGGCAGGGTTTGTTTGCGATGAGGGGGTCCCGCGTTTCTTTCTCGGGGTTTGTTTCTGCAAGACCACTAACCGCCTCTGCAAGAGAACTGCGCCTGGGCGAACTCATACTTTTAGCTTTGAAAAAGAAAGAAAGAAAACAGACAAACCCAAACGAGGGATGGGGGAGGAGGACTCACAGGGTCCACACCCCGTCGTAGGGGCTCGGGGGCGTCCGCCGCACACAGAAAAGAATGGCGGAGGTCGCGCGGCCACTCATTTAGGGAGGTTTGTGTTGGGGAGGAGGGACTGCTCGTGGGGGGGGGAGGGAGCGGGTCGCGCACGACCATCATGGTGATGGCGAGGAGCGGCGGCGGAGGGCTGGACTGCGATTACATTACGGGACGCTGCTTGGGGCGCCCTCCAGACGGGCGCGTGTGAGTCTTGTGTGAGTCTGGACACCCCGCCCCACCGTCCGCGGGGCCGTGAGCACTGGATATTAGGGGGTCCCTTTTCTAGGGTCGATTCCGTCAGGGGCAGCGACCCCCCCATCTACAGATGATAGGCGCATCTTGAGATAATATGCCTCTAAGATGCGCCCTACTTGGACTGCACACTGTCTTGCCTATGATCGAGCATCTCTAGATGGTTTTTTCAACTAAGATGCCGGAGCATCCTGGGATGCTCGAATCATCTGAAGATGCTTCGCATCCCAAGATGCTTGGCATTTAATGATTAAAATGCAAGTTAAATTATAAAGACTTGAGCGGCGTGTGAGCCCTTGGATCAAAGTGGGAGTGGAGACTATGAATCTATGCTAATCTCAGCTGCTACTAGTATGGCTATGTAAGAGTAAGTGTGATGTGACTAACTACTCTGTTGTCTGTGGAATACTACTGATGGTGATGGAACTGGGAGCCAGTGAGTGATGGTGGGGGGCACTTAGCCCTTGTGCTAATGCTGACTTTTCTACACTATGGAAGGTTGCGGTTGTATATGTAAGACTGGTTTTTATTTCGGGTTCGGGTTCGGCAAAAAACTCCGACACTGTCGATCGAAAATAGGGGGGAAATCCGACAACGCGCTCATGTTCCTGAGATGCATTGCGCATCCTCAGATGCCACATTGCATCCTGGGATGCATGGACTAACCCAAGATGAGGGTATCATCTCGGCCCACTTGTGCGTCTGAAGACGACTGCAGTATATCTGAGATGTCACGGGCTATCAAAAGACGCGGGGCACCATCTAAAGATGATTGAATCTTCTTGGAGAACCCAATCATAGTAGAGACACCCGGTGTCCTTAGATGGAAAACGCATCCTAGATGGCGTTTGGCATCTAGGATGCGCATATCATCTGTAGATATGGGGGGGTCGCCGCCCCTGACGTTCGGCATGGTGTACGGGACGCCTGCGTCTTTGTTGCGATTGCGCGCGCGTGCCAGCTCAGCAGCACGCACACGCGAATTGCGATGGAGAGGGCAGGTCGAGTAGTGGGGGAAATGGTCCACTAAAACATTCATTTTCCAAGCCCCAAACCCAAACTGGATCTCGAGGCGATCCGACGGTGATTTCGTTCGGCGTCACGATGACGGGTGAGGAACCGGTAGATCGCTCCTCGAGGCATGGAAGCGATGGATGTTTGCACTGCTCGGGGGCCTCAGGGCCCGGACTGCTTGGCCCTGGCGATCGAGCTGCAGCTGGACGCGCAGGGCGCCGCCGCCGCGGAGGCGGCCGTCGGGTCGCCGGAGGCCGGGGCGGGGGCGCTTCACGGCCAGGGCTGTGAGACACGCCTCAAGCCACCAAGTGCTGCCAAGCACCTTGCACAGGTCGGGCGGGTGCACGGTGGCTTCCCCGGGGCCGCCCTGGCCCTCAAGGCGACTGTTGGCGATGCTCTTTCTGGCCGATCCGGTGCGCGCGGCCACAACGGGTGCAGTGACACGCAGTGGACCTCGGCGCGCTGACGTTCGCTCACGCGCCTGCGCAGGAGAGAAAATCCTGTCCCCCATCACCTCCAAGGGCGACACGTTCTTCGTTCGGCACCACGCCGACGCCACGGACACGGAGGTCCTGATTATCGCCCTCTTCATCGTCCTTCTCGAGCCCAGCGCCGAGGACACCGCCGAATGGGCGGCGGGTTTGGCGCCTCTCGCGGCGCAGGCTGCGGATGAGCAGGCGGGCTGGGCGACGTCGGCGGCGCCCGCCGGCTACTACGACCCGTTTCAGCGGCTCATAGACGACAAGTGGCACAAGGAGACGTGCGAGGCCGTGAAGAAGGCGGTGGAGGGCTGGGAGGGCCCCGGCGCGCGCGAGGGCGTGACAGTCGCCCACTTGCTCTCGTACCACACCGGACTTAAGAAACACCCGGACAATGGCGGGCTTGGCGGGCAGCCGCCGCGCAAGAGGCCGCCGAAGCGCTTCAACACGTGGGCGGCCACGCGCGTCGCCGACCTAATCTACAGGCGCGGCCCAGTTTTGCGCGCGGCTCTCGGCTTGCCGCCGGCCGCCGCCGCGCTGCCTTCGGCGCCGTCGATGGTCGAGGAGAACGCGGCGCTGACCGCGACCATCGGGTTGAAGGACCAGAAGATCGAGGCGCTCGAGCGCGAGCTGGCGATTTGCCGCGCGGAGCGCGCCGACTTCGCCGACAAGCTCCACAAGGCGAAGAAGCGCGCAGAGCGTAAGCGGGCTGACGCGCGCGAGTACAAGGAGGCGCAACAGCGCGGCTACTCCGAGGCCCAGAAGGCGGCGCGGGCGGCGCAGCTCGCCGCGCGCAAGCGGAACTTCGACGCGGCCGTCGAGCGCGCGTCCTACGTGCGCGTCGTGACGCTGACGAGAAAGCTAGAGCGGGCAAAGAAGAGGCTCGAGGACGCTGGCCTCGCGCACGCGGCGGCGCTCGAGGAGAAGGCGAAGCAGGTCTCGACTGCTCGCAAGCGGGCGCGCGCCGTCGAGGGCGACGCGGCGAAGCTGCCCGAGCTGAAGCTCCAGGTCAAGGAGCTCAAGGCGCGGGTCGAGGAGCTCAGGGTCGAGGAGGAGTCCGAGTCCGAGGACGAGCCGTCGCCGCGCCCGGGCTGCTCGCCGATTGTCGGCCTGCTGCCGCGGCGCGACGAGCACGGCCGCTGGCAGGCCGAGTCCGCCGAGCTGCGCGGGCTGCGGCACGCGCAGCTCGCGCGCGGCGTGGCCTCATCCACCGTCTCCGCCAACATACAGGACGTGCTTGACGTGCTGTGCCCGGGCCACGGCGTGCCGGCCGCTTGCGCGCGCCAAAGCAAGCTGATGCGCGGCGAGGTCACGATCGCCGGCGAGGCGATGGCCGCCTTTAAGTTCGCGGCGAGCCGGCGCGTCATATCCTTTGGCTGGGACGAGTCGACCAAGTTCGGAAACTCCGTCTTCAGCTGCAACTTCCAGCTCGAGCACTTCGACGGCACCATCGAGGACGTGTGCTTGCGCGGGCTCTCGATACTGCCGCACGGCGGCACGTCGGCAGCGCTGCTCGCGCACATCGAGGAGCGCATCCTGTCCTACTCGCGGCGCGTCCTCGCCGCGTGGATCGAGCAGCACGAGAAGGAGAAGGGCGCGGGCAGCTGGGCGGCGGCGGGCGGGCCGTCGCCGGAAAACATCGGCCTGCACCGATTGTGCGAGGGCACGGTCCTCATGACGGACACGTGCAACGGCGCGCGCTGCACGCGGCGCATGGTCGCCGCCGCTGCGATGGTCGCCGTCGAGGCAAAGGTCGGCAAGGCGGCGTGGGAGGCCATGACCGAGGAGGAGCGCGAGCGGAAGTACAAGACGTACCTCGGCGACTGCTGGCAGCACCTCCGCAACATCATCATCGAGGCCATGGCGGCCGCGGCGAACGCGTCGGTGAAGGCGACGCTCGACGACGAACTGCACGACTTCTCCTCCTTCGAGCGCATCGACCCGGACGGCAGCTGCGTGATTCGCGCCGCGTTTAAGCAATTCCACCACGGGGGCGAGTACGCGAAGGGGCGCGGGCGCGAGTTTGAGTCGTGGCGCAAGACGCGGGCGCTGATGTTCCTCCCCTTCGAGCGGGCGGCCGGGTCGCGGCAGGACCTAGCGTTCGACGGCTGCGTGCCCCTCTTCGTCAACCGCGTCACGTGCGTCGACTTTCTGCGCGGGTACATCGACTGCCCTAAATCCCAGAACGTGCTGGACAAGTCGCTGTACACCGTCATGAAGTGCAACGAGTTCACCGCGTTCCTCCGGGTCAACACGCTGTGGCGCTTCCTCTTTTGGGACCCGCTCCGGTGGGAAGACACTGGCCGCGCCGCCGCTCTCGCCGCGCGTTATTGCCCCTTCCCCCCCCCCCCCCTCCCCCTCCCACCCGCGCCCTATCCCCCCTTACCCATTCTTGGCCCGACGACGCTCACTCCGCCGCCGACTCTCCGGCGCTCAGGTGGCTGTGCGGCAGCGCCAGCAAGCTCGACGATTGGTCCCTCTACAAGATGGGCTGGGTGCTGGAGCAGGTCGAGGCGGGCATGGAGCAGGTCGTGGCGGACCCGGCGCGGCTGCTCGACCCCGAGTTCGACATGTTCGCCGCCGTCGCCGAGGAGCTGCCCGCCTTCCGCGACTGGCGCGCCGAGCTGCTGGCGCGGCCGCTCAAGGGATGCGGCGACCACACCTTCGCCGACGTCCTGCGCGAGGCGCGCGTGCCGACGCCTGGCTCGGGCAACCAGCAGGCGACGCCCAAGGTGCTCGAGCTCGCCAAGCTCCAGGCGGAGGCGGCGCTCAAGAAGATGCACGACCCGAAGCTTGCGCTGGCTGACAAGCTCGAGTCCCAGGACGGCGTCAACGCGTGGAGCAAGAACGAGGACGCGCACCGGCGCACCATCGACGCGCACGTGACGAACGACGCGGTCGAGAACAAGTTCGCCATCGCCGACTACATCATGCGGTTCTACCGCAACATGAGCGTCTTCAACGTGTCCGGCGTGGTGCAGCAGCGCGCGGCGCACGACTACGACCGCCCGCTCGACGTCGTCAGCGACCGGCGCAAGCGTAAGGCGGAGCCGGCGGAGGCTCCGCCCGTCGGCTTCTTCTGGAGGTTGCGCGCCGATTTGCGCTCGTCGCTTGTCACGATGGCGCGGCGCAGGCTGCCGGACGCGCTCAAGGAGGGGCGAGCCGAGGTGCTGTCGCACGACCAGGAGAAGCTGCTGCGCCGCGAGGAGGCGGTGCAGCGGCAGCTCAACGCCGCGGTCGAGAGGTACGCCGCCGCGCTCGAGCTCTTCGACCAGTGGCGCGCGCAGGGCGTGAAGACCGCCGCCGAGCTCGAGCGGGCGCTGGGCGGCAAGTCCGAGCCCGAGCAGCTGGCGGAGCTGCGCCGCCAGATCGAGATGCGGACAGTCGGCTGTGGCTGGACGCACTTCGAGACCAAGTGGGGCTTCTTCTCCGACGAGCGCTCGCACAAGATCGAGGACCTCAAGCGCATGCTGCTCGACGACATCTTGCCCTACGAGTTCCAGCTGCGGCGGCTCAAGAAGCTCCCGACCGAGGCGCGCCGCCCGCGCTCCGCTCTGAGATGAGCGCTTCCCCGTCTCACTCGACGTGTCGCTCCCCATAGGCGGCGCCTCCTCAGCTGCGGGTCCGCTCGATCAAGACCCTGGGCACCGCCGACGCGGACGTGCTGCGCCTGGAGCAGCAGAGCATCTTCAACGTCTCGAACCTCCTCCCGAAGGCGAAGGCCGCGCGGGAGCGGCGCGAGGCGGCGGGCATCTCGGACAGCGTCGAGGTGCGGCAGGACCGCGAAGCCCCCCCCTTCGACACGCGACTCGTGGGCAAGTGGCTCGAGGTGTGCTGGCCATACAAGGAGGAGGGTAGGACGGTCAAGATCTGGGCCGCCGGCAGGGTGAAGCGCGTCGCGGACGGCCTCACCGACAAGAGGAGCCCGCGCGCACGCAAGATCCTCCCGGCCGGCATGCTGCTCTGGGCTTGGGACGCCGACCCCGAGTACGACGAGCCGGCGGGGGAGAGATGGATCGCCTTTCTTCCCGAGAAGTGGAACAGGCCCGTCTCATATGGGTGGCGGCTCGATCCCCGCGAGCTGGGCGCCACCGGCCCGCCCCGCACGCCGCTCATTGAAGAGGAGGAGGAGGAGGAGGCGCCGCGCGCGCGCCGGTGACCGAAATTTGTCTGTCTTGAGACGGGTGTGGGCCCTCGTGTGGTCGGTCCCTGGATGTAAGGGGCATAGCTATAGACTCCCCATAGTGTCCACAGTCAGTGCTGAGCTTGCCGGGCTTGTAGTGCGACTTTCAAAATTTACCATTTCCCCCACTATCTTTGCTTGTCATGCCTTTTGCCTTCTCTCTGGCGCTCACGCTCCTAAAAATAGAAAGAAAAGAAAACGGAGAACCCAAGGGAGGGATGGGGGGACGGCACGCCGCCACCACACAGGGATTTTAAGGAGACGCTCCCGCTGCTGCTTCATGTGTTTATTCTTTACCATAGAAAGAATTCTTTACCATGGCAGGACGCGTCGGGGTCGCCTTAGCACAGCTTGGTCGCAGCGAATGGAACCACCGCGAAATGAGACGCCGGACGAGCCGCCGAACCTCTGCTGCCCCATCACGCAAGTCATCTTCCGCGATCCGGTCTTCGTGCCAGAGGCTGGCACCACGTACGAGCGAGGCGCCATCCTCACATTCTGGCGGCAGGCCGGTGAGCGGCGCGATCCACTCACGAACACTCCTATCCGGTCAGACGTGCTCTACACGAACTGGGACAAGCGCAGGGAGGTTGCCAGCTGGCTCGGCGAGCACTTGGATTACACGCCGCAAGGCTGGCGCTCGCGAGATGACATCCCTCAAGGGAGGCGGATCATCTTTGACCCACCCCAGTCTGATCGCAACCCGCAGCAGCTGCTGGCGGCCGCGCGTCGTTTTCCCGGCCTGAGCTCGAAGACGTGTGCCATACTCGCTTGCGTCATCACGGCAATCTCATCGGGGCTGGGCGTCAACATCAGCGCTGAGCTCGTCAGTATTGCAGTTGGCAGCGCGCAGCCACCGAGCGACGATTCGTGCAACGCAAGCCCATATGGCAAAATCAGTGGGCGAGAGCCCACCGCTCACGGCATCATAGCCGCCAGGATACTGTGGATCGACGATGCGGGCCGGCAGAAGCCGTTTTTCTTCGGCGCCAAACCTTCTACTTCGACGCCTGGCTTGTCGAGCCGCCTGCAGATCTCCGTGCTGCAAACTCCCTCGGCTGAAGCTTCCGATAGCGCCCGCGGCGGTTCGCTGATCACGGAGGCGCATACCAACGCTGGCGACGGCGCTGTGTGGAGCCGCAGCGCCGGCAGGTACGTCACCGTTTCCGCCCCCGGCGTGACCTTCAGCACCATGGTCGAGCAGTACAAGACGCTGGCGGCGGCTCACGGGTTGCGACTGGACATCCCCCACGGTAGCCTCTTCTCTGGGGACAACTTTGCGAGCCTCGTCGTCCTCGGGTTCACCACGCTGTGGACGGGCAGCGCGCTGCGTGCGGACGCCCCCCTCCTCTTCACCCTCTTCTCATGCCCGTTTTGGCACGTGGGCGCGTCACTGCTCGCCAACACCCTGCGCGCTCTCCTCCATCGCTCGACGCTCGCCCTTCACGAAGGCGGCATCCAGGTCGAGAACGAGAGGTCCACCCTCGCGGAGTACTTCGACCTCTTTCGGACTTCGACGTGCGCCTTTGTGCCGTGGAGCGACGTGTCGGCCGGCAGCCTTGAGGAGTCGCTGCACTTGACGGTGACGCACGTCATCAACGGCGTCGAATCTGGGCTGCTCGAGGTGCGGACGGTGCGGGGCACGCTCGCGCTGACAGGCGGCGCCGATCTGACGATGAACGAGCTGCGCAAAGTCCGCGAGCTCCTGCTGCTCTGGGCGAGGGAGAAAGGGCTCGGGGTCCAATCGGTGGAGGCTCGCCAGGAGGCCTAGTCTTGGTCTTTGTTGCCAGACGTAAATTCTTTTTCTTCGCTGCCATCGCGGGAAGCAAGGCGCCGTCCCTGAGCAATTGAGCGGACTGACAGGCAGTTGTGTGTGTGTCGACCTCACGCGCGTGAATGCAACACATTCCGGCCATGGCATTGCTGCGGGCGCCCATCGTCATCATCGAGCCCACTGCAGTGCACTCGCACAGCCTCATCCTACTTCACGGTGCCGCGCACATGCTTCCCGCCGAGACTCGTAGTTTGCGTGAGATGTTGCTTGTCGAGACTCGTAGATTCGTGAGATGTCGCTTGTCCGTAGGCATGCACTGCGACGGCCGGATGTTTCAGCGCTTGCCGCAGATTCTGACGGCGCTCGGTGGCAACGCGTCGGGCACGCGCTTCATCTTCCCGTCGTCGCCGGTCCGGACCATCTCCTGGCCTCAAGGACCTGAGTCCGGCGTGCGTGCGTGGTACGACTACTACACCGCGCGCGGCGGCTCGATGCGCCACGACGAGATCAACCGCACGCACCTGAAGCAGATGACGCAGGCGAGACGCTCGCAGTGCAAAAACCGCTGCGGGAGCGCACCGTTCTCAGCTCTCCGAGCCGTGAGCAGGCCGTGCACCGGCTGCTCGACGCCGAGGTGGCGTCGCTCGGCGGCGACCCTTCTCGCGTCGCCATCGGAGGCAACTCGCAGGGAGGCACGGTCGCCATCCACGCGGCCCTGACCTACCCGAAGCCGCTCGCCGCCCTCTTCTCCCTCTGCTCCATCCTGCTCGACGTAACGCCCGCGCCGCCCGCCCTCGCCGATCGGCTTCCGGTCTACGTGTTCACGGCAGAGTTCGACCAGGAGTACGCGCCCCGCTTCCAGCACAAGTGCTTCAAGCGGCTCGCAGACGTTGGCTTTCGACTCTTTTCGCATGTCGAGCCAGGCGCCGCCCTCTCCACACACCTCTCCGCTGGCCCACCTCGTGTCTCACGCCTTCCGACTCGCCTCCGACTCGCCTCCGCCGCCCTCTCTCCACCTCACCCGGCCGTCGACAGGCCTCGACCACTACACCACCTCCACCGCCGAGCTGCACCACGCCGCCGCCTGGACCTCCCTCGCGCTGCACGGCCGCCCACTCCCGCCCGTGACGTACCGCGACGTCCCCTCCGCCGTGCCGCAGCCGCCGCTCGACTTTTACCACCGCGGCGCGGGCGCCATCCTGTCGGAGCCGCCCGACGGAGGAGCGGCCGGCGGCTGGTGGGCCTCCTGGTGGGGAACAAGTGGGCGCGTGGGTGCGAACGCTTCTTAGTTGTGTAGCATGTTGGACTGTGAGAGTCTTGAGCTTGACTCTGTGTACCTTTCTCGCCTTAGCGACTGGACATCAAGGCGTGGCGCGTGGACCGTCACGTGTGAGAACGCACCCAATCGAGCAAGCATCGGAACGAGAAAAAAGTGACGGTTTTTGAGACACTCTTCTGCGGTGTTTTTTGGTGTTCACGTGAGTGTGAGAGACGTGTGTGGTGTGTGCGAGTAAATACACCCCCGTTCGTTTAAGCCGTAGCTGCGAATAGCCGTCGAGCGTCGTTTGTTGATGTTGTGTGTCGTTGTGTCGTGCGCCGCCAGAGTACAGAGAGAAAGTGGAGCTCTGAGCTGTTGTGTTCAGCGCAAAAGGCCTCTCGTCACTCTACATTACCCGCTCTCCACGCTGTGAAGAGAATTGTCCCGCTAGACAAGCGCCACGCTACGCACCGAAGAGCTCCGGTGCTTCATAGAGAAGGAGGAGGTACGCGCGTACACGTCCTTGGCCGCGACCTCCTCGTCGGGCGGCGCCGGCTTCGACGGGAAGATGATCTTGAGCGCGAGCTGCACGAGCCCAAGCGCAAGGCCTGTTCACAGCCTAGGCATATGACATATGATGTCGACCACTGAAAACGAGCCGCAAGTGCGAGGCCGGTAATATTGGGCCCGTACACGGCGGGGTCGTTGATTGAGAACACGCCATACGCGCTCCAAAGGCTGCAGTTGATCACCTGGAACGCCGTCATGCTCGCGAGGATCGAGCCGGCGTCGCGCGTGGAGATAACGGTCCTGGTGTCCAGAAGCATCAATGAGCAGGAAACGTACCGGTCAGGCTAGCGGGAGCATTGAGGAGTAGATCTCTACATGCATATGAATCTAGGGCGTCGGCGTGATGGTCGAGAGCGGCGAAGCGAAGAGGATAATACAGAAGCCGGCGGCATAGATGCCGAGTAGCGCGCCAAAGTCCTCAGAGGACATGCCCGAAAAGACAAAGTACGTCCAGAGACAGAAGTTGATGAGGCAACCGACAAGGAGGAGACCTTGGACGCTCCGAAGGCTGGGGTGGCCCTTCATCATGGGCAGCATCACGACGAGCGCTCCAATGGCGGCGAGGCTGCCGGGTGCATTGCTTGCAACCAAGAAAGGGTTCTGAATTATCAGGCCGTAAAAGACCCAGGCGAGGGTGGACAGGACAACGAAGGTTGCTGCAGGAGTCAGGGAGATGAGCGTGGTTGGAGCTGCTGGGAATTGCCTATCTTATCTCCCTACTCTCCTCCCTCTCCGTCTGCAAACACCTGGGAGCGGATTGAGCGGGCCCAGGTCACCGATCCGCTCGCGCGAGAGCACGGCAGGAAGAGGGGCTGCGTAGAGGGCGTTGGAGGTGAAGATGCCGGCAATGGGAGCACCGACGCCGAGCAAGTCGACTCCCATCCTTCCTCTCGGAAGCAGCCGGAGGTCCTGGCGGCAGCCACGCAAATCCGCGCAAGCGCCGATCTCGGTAGTATCCCGCTAAAGTATCCGCCCGTCCACCGTCGCGCCCATGGACGAATCGGCAGAAGCCTCTCCATCCGTGACGCCTCCATCGCCGCCCACCGACCTTGCGAAAGTGCGCTCCACACTCACCAACCCGAGTGCACAACCCGAGCATTCGTTCAGCGGCGGCGCAATCCCGCTTTTCGTGTCACAGGTGCGAGCCGAGATCGCCCGCCGCCTCGTCGATCCCTCGCATGACGATGGGTCCCTCGCTCCGCTGTTGATCCGGCACGCCTGGCACCAGCTGCGGTGAGTTGAGCATACAGTACGGCATCCACACTGGCCACCCTCAGGTACGCGTGGCACGCGAGCGGGACGTACGATCGGCACACACGCACCGGCGGCTCCAATGGAGGGACGATGCGTTTCGAGACCGAGCGCGCCGACCCAGAGAATGCAGGGTTCAGTAAGGCTCACGCGCTGGTGGAGGCACGCATCTCGTGGCCAGGACGTAGCGTTGAATAGCCGTCACGAAGCCCATCGTATCGTAGGCTGTCAAGGCACTCTTTCCGGCACTCTCGATGGCAGACATTATCATTCTCGCAGGCAACGTCGCCATCGAGCACACTGGTGGTCCGGCCGTGCCATTCTCGTACGGACGGCGCGACTTTGGTGTCGAAGAGGCGCGGGCGATACACGGCGCGACTGGGTGCCCGTTTGGCGATGGCAAGCACAACCCTAAAGGCAGCCGGCTGCCAGCGGCCGATTTGGGGCCGCGGGAGGGGTGCGCGGCGTCGGCTTCGATGGCGGAGAAAGAAAGTCCGACGATCGATGCGATGCGGGGCACGTTTGATCGGCTCGGATTTGATGATAAGGAGACAGTCGCACTCATTGTCCTCGGCCATCAGTACGGCCGCTGCCACGGCGACGCCTCTGGCTTCGAGGGCGCATGGCGCGAGTGCTAGAGATGTTCAAGACTACCCCAGCATAGGGATACCCCGCACCAGCGTGTGGACCCGTTCATCAGGTACGCCTTTGACCCGACGCATTGGAACTGCTATGAGAGGGGGCTGGGGTACCCGTCGGCGTACACGCACGGCGTCGCGCGTGGTGGTTATCGGCTGAGCCCTGGCGTTCTGGCGGCGCGCAACCAGCGCCAGTACGAGATGGACTTTGGCGGGGGCGAGCCGTTCATGATGCTGGTGAGCGACATGTGCCTGTGGTACGACGAGGTCTGCTCGAGATTTTTCCGCTGCGATTCTTTTCTATTCGTCTTGATGGCCCACCAGTCATTAACGACCCACTTCCCTCCTCCCTCTTCCGCAGGAGTACCGGCGTCATCTGCTACATTACGATAGTCACCGCAGCGAGTTCCGCCGCGATGCGGCACTCGCGTGGAAGAAGCTCACCGAGCTGGGTTGTGCTGGCACCCTGGTGCCGGAGAGGGAGACCAAGGCGGCGTGACGCGAGAGCGTGCAGGCCGTGTCCGCGCGTGCAGCTGCAGGCCGGCGTGGCGAACTCGCGAATACCAATACGGACTAACGTACGACCTATAGTACTTATAGTACGCGCCGCTGCGGTCGCGCGCTCGCGGCCCAGCCGCTCCCGTGCTTCTCCGCTTGTGCCTTCTCGGTTCTCTCGCCCCTCTAAGCGCTCCGCCCGCGCGCCGCGGGTCCGGGTTCCCGGCGTTTTGACATTTGAGAATTTCCACCGTTGATGTGCTCGTGTGGGAGTGGGCCTTTTGCCTCTCCGGGCACGCTACTTGTACTGTTGCGTGTGTGCAGAAGAAGGCGTACTTTTAGAACGTCCTGTTAAATCTCTCCACTCCTTCCTTCTGACTGTCTCGCGGTCGCCAAAACGCCAAAGTTAATCTGTCAGTCCGCCGCCGCCGCATCGTCATCGTCGTCGATGAGTATCAGGTCGCGCTTGAGCCGGACGCCACAACAAAGCCAGCAGAGGTACTTGAAGGGCACCTCCTCGCCGCCCGTCTTGCGCACGTACACCCGCCGCGGCACGACTGCCTGCAGCTTGTCCGTGTCCAGCACCTCGCGCGCAAAGCCGACGTGCAGCACCGAGATGGGCAGCAGCATGACGAACGGCTTGCCTGTCGAGGCTAGCGCGCGTAGCACCGCCTCCTTCATCTCTGGCGAGGTGTAGGGCGGGTTGTCGAGGATCAGATCAACCTTTTTGAGGAACTTTGGGTTGCGCACCTGCACGAAGAAGTCCTCCCGCTTGTGGTGCACGCGCGTGAAACCGAGCTCACGCAGGTGCTCGGCGCACGCTCCGTCGTAGTAGAAGGGCATCCAGATCCGCTTCTCGCGCGCTGCCGGACCGAGCACCTCAGCTATCGCCGCCCAAGATCTCCGAGCGGTCTGCCAATCGTCGGACGCGCCAGCGCCACCGCCGAGCCGGCCCGAGGTGGTGGCCACGGGAGGGCCTCGCGTACTGCTGCCACCGGCGTCGTCTGGATCGCGACGTCGTTTCTTCGCCATTGTAGCTCTGACAACGAGGGAGCAGAGCAGGGGTGGCTCGCCAGGCACGAGGGAGCGCGCACCCACCGGGCCCGGGAAGGGTGGGGGGGGGGGACTTCGTGCTCAGTCGTGCTCGAGCGTTGTTCGCTTTGCTGCGCCTGGGGTCGGTAGGCAGGTAGGTACGTGAATGGAGACCGAGGGCACCGCACACAGCGGCAACAGTCAGAAGACCCCCCCTAGATCCGGCTAGTCGCAGACAAGAAGAAAACTTGGCGCCATGCCTGTGCAGTCCGTGTGTAACAGTGTAAGCCCTGGTGTATGGACCGGTATGTACGTGTACGTACTTTTCAGTGTATGTAGCTCTTACGTACATTCCCGGAGGAGGACTGCTGCTTTTAGCTTATTACTGGGAGAAAAGGGAGAGGGTCTCTCTCTCTACGTGTATGTATGCATCGAGGGCAAGAACAGCCAGGCTCGGACTGGACACCAACATACCGACGCGGTCCCTTTCTCCTGTGGAGGCTCCCCTCGGAGGGCGCCTCAACTTGAGTAGCGTCCTGGGTGGGTGGAGGTCCTCGGCGGGCGCTGTGAGTTTCGCCGATATCGCGCAGCAAAACGAGGTTGATCGGTGGGCGTCAGCGACGCACGCCTCGCAGCACACCAGCGCCCCTGCCGCGCCACATGCCCCTACCTGCTCCACGCAGTCCAATCCTCCCGATGGATTGCCACGCCCGCCCCGGCATTCCCGCACGCTCTCCGCGCCGCGAGCGGAGCGCCGCTCGCCAGCCTGCCCACGCCGCAACGCCCCCCACGCGCCGCTGCACAGATATGAAGCTGCTCGTTCGGCTCGTTCCCTTTGCGCTCATTGGCGTCGTCAGCGCCTTTGCAACGGGCATGGAGTGCATCGACACTCCCCCGGCGACGGTTAAGGGCGCAGCTTCCCTGCTGGAACTGGGTGGTGTGGAAAGCTGCGAAGGTTTGGCCAATATTGGCTACTGCTCCCACGCGGAGGCGAAAGAGTACTGCTGCGAGACCTGCAAGGATGCTGAGCCAGTAAGAGGGGTGAGAGGTGCCGGGACCCTTTCCGCCATTTGGGGCTGGGCCCACGCCTTCATTGGCATGGCCATCGCTTGCTTTGGCGGCCACAGCGGCGCCTGCAGCGTGTTCCTCGGCTGATGGCGGAAAGGGTCCCGTCACCCAGGACCTGCTTCTGCGACCACAGTGGGTGGCTACTGAACAGAGGGCGGCTGTGTGCGGTGAATCCAAAACCGCTCTCACATGTCTGACAGCTGGGGCAGCAGCGTCAGGGTCGCAGGGCCGGATCATGTCAAGCCTCTTGCCCGGCCGGCCGCGTGCACAACGTCGGTCTGTTTGCTGTCTGGAGCCATCGGTCGGCGGTCAGCACGACCGATCAGGTTGCCGTCCAGTTTTCTTATGGTTAGAGGGTCTATCTGTGTACTCCTCCGAGATCTTTCCAAATCTGCGCCTCTGACATAAGAGACACGGGTTCGTATACTTAGATCGGGAAGTCGGTGCTAGTGCCTAGTGGAGACTAGTGGGAGCCGGGGCCCCGTTTCCGCACTGCGGCGCGGCGCACGGACCACGGTGTGGGCCGGGGGCGGCCCCCGCCTCCCCCCAGGCCGGCCAGGGGTGTGCCGCGGAGCGGCACACTGAGGGAGCGGTCGGTCAGCGGCTGTCCTCGGCGCAGCTGATAATCGGCTCCCGCTGGCCTGGGTGCGGTGGCAGTTGCACTCCCTGAGTCCAATATTCTTTCTGGTATTTGTTGAGCCCCCCGCTTTTCTCGCCGCACGGCTTTCTTCCCCCCCCAAAACTGCCCCAAACCGCGCGATTCGATCAAACGTAAATTGCCGCCGATTTGTGCTTTTATCTCTCACCCCACACCGCACACGTCCACACGCTCAGCACAATCGTACGAGCCCCGCCCGTTCTCCCAGCATCAGAGCTGCCGGTCGGTACCGTTCGTATCGCCAGGAGCCAGCATGAATCTGTTGCTTTCTATGGCGGATCAACTCCGGTTTGACGCGCTCTCGCCGGTTACGCCCGCCCTGCACACGCCAGGCTTTGCCGCCCTGGCACGGGAGGGTGTGCTCTTCTCCCGCGCCTACTCCTCCACCCCGACCTGCGCGCCCGCGCGCGCCGCACTTCTCACGGGCCGCTCGCCCTGGGGGCATGGGCTGCTCGGAGTGGGCCCGATCGCTCTTTCATACCCGTGGGAGTTTCCACGCACGCTCGCGTCGGTGGGCTACCAGGCAGCGGTGGTTGGCAAGAACAACTTTGGCTGGAACCTGTCCGCAGGGCTCGAGGGTGGCCGGGAGCACAGTCACAGCTATCAAAGCTGGCAGATCTACGACGGCAAAACGGGCCAGCACGACCAGTACCGCGAGTATTTTGCTGAGCAAGTGGGGTACCGCCGCGACATGGCCAATGGCTCGACACCTGCAAACGTTTGCTGGCCGACTCTGGATATGAACTCGTGGCGCGGGGCGGCGTTTGCGTGCGACGAGGAGCTGCATCCGACGGCGTGGGCGGGCCGCAAGGCGGTTGCCTTCCTCCGCGCCCATCGAGACGCGGGGCGCCTAGGTCGGCCGCCCTTCCTCCTCAAGCTCTCCTTTCACCGGCCCCACTCGCCGTACGACCCGCCGCAGCGGCTGCTCGACGCGGTGCAGTACGATGCCATCCCACCTCCGGCGCGCAGCGTTGATGGGTGGTCGGCGCACTTTGCCACCTGCGACCAGCGTGGGACCGCGCACAAACCCTTTCCCGACTCGTGGTGCGGCGAGATGCCGGCCGAGGAGGAGCGGCTCGCGCGCCGCGCGTACCACGCGAGCGTGCGTTTTGTCGACGAGAAGATAAGCGCGGTGCACGAGGTTTTGCGCACTACGGGGCTGCTCGAGCGAACGTTGTGGCTCTTCCTCTCAGACCACGGCGACGGTCAGGGCGACCATTTCCATTGGCGAAAGGGATACCCTTACGAGTTTTCTGCGCACATCCCGATGCTCCTCCGCTGGCCCGAGGCGTGGCCACCCTCCCTCCCTCCCGTGCGCATTCCGCGCGGCAGCACGCTCGATGCGGTTGTTGAGCTTCGAGACGTCGCTCCCACGCTTGTCCACGCCGCGGGCATTCTTCCAGAGGCAATCGGGCCGGCTGGCATCGAAGGCAGCTCGCTGCTCTGCCTGCTGAGCGGAAATAGCACCAATGCTCCGCCCGTCAGCGGTGGCGGTTGGTGTGCAGCTGCGTGGCGCGCCTCGCTCACCCTGGAGCACTCCACGTGCAACCATAAAAGCAATCATTGGTCATGATTAGATTGCGATGAGATCACGATCGCGCCGAGATTGCAGCGAGCTCAACCAGAGAGGGGTTGCCAAGAAATGAACTCGTGGCGAGCCCTAGTTAGCTCTGTCGATAGGAGTGCGGTCGTCGACGGCGAGTCGCTTCTCAAGTACGTCTTCAACGCCCAAGATGGCAGTGAGGAGCTGTTTGACTTGCGCGCGGATCCAAAGGAGACGATAAACCTCGCGACCAAACCCGCGCATTCGCGGAGCGTTGCGCGGCTACGGGCGGCGCTCGTCAAGCAGTATCAGAGGGAGGGACGCGGCGAGGGCTGGGTCCAAATGGGCAAACTGGTGTGGCCCCGCCGCCGCCAGGCCACCGGGCAAAACTACCCGAGCCAGTCGCGGACCCGAAGATAAGGCCTCGGGGTTTCTTTTTTCCCGGAAAACACGGAAGACTACATTGTTTTGTGGTAGGTAATTCCTTTTGGGGTTAGGGACGAAGGCGAAGGACCGATTGCGGTGTGAAGGACCGCAGATTATAGGGACCGATGTGGTGTTAGCTACGAGAGAGAGAGAATTCTTGATACGAAACCACGACGACACACACCAGTCGACTCGCATCGGTTGCCTCCATGAACGGCGGAGCTATTCTCGCGCCCACACCACACCTGGCTCCAACGTGGACACGCCCATAGCTGGGGACACTACTAGGTCACGCATGGCATCACAGAAGTTTTATCTCTGGGCCCCGAAAGCCATCTCTAGCAGCGTCGTTACGCATGCGCCCTCCCCTCCTGGGCGCATTCGCCTCACGTCTCGCCAGAGCATAAGCCCTTGGCGTGTGGCGAGACGAGTTTTTCGCCATCGCAGCGAGCAGCAAGCCGCCCGCCGCAAACAGCCGGAGGCCTCGCCGCGGCACTGACTGCGCCGCGATCCCGCACCCGTCGACGCAGCTCCCCCCGCGGAAGACCGCGCGTAGCGACGTCTTGACGATCGAGATGAGCGCGCTCGAGGCTCGCCCACCTACTGCCCCTAAGAGTTGGTTATGAGTGGGCTCGGCTCCCCCCCTTGGGATCGAAGCTTCCACGACCTCACACCCAACAGCACAGGCGGGATCAGAAGGGGACTCCACACCGGACACCGCCCGGGCACAGCCCCCCTACCCGTCGGATCGCACAGAGGGCCCCCTCGGAGCAGCCCACACACAATCACGCATCGGCAGAGTTAGTGCCTGAGTCAGGCAGACAGCACAGACAAGGAGAGGAGAGAGAGAGAGGAGAGAGAGAGAGAGGAGAGAGGAGAGGGTGAGGGAGTGTGTACACGTGAGGAGTGGGGAGGGTGTCTGTGGTGGGTTGTAGTCCTACTACGTGGTTAAAACCACGCGCCCCTCAGGAGCTTAAGGTAGAGCTGAGCGTCCAAGACGCCTCGGTGCCACCCACCGGGTGAGACCATCCGGATCAATCGAGCCCGCCTCCGGCGGGCCGTCCCCGCGATGGCCCACGGTCCGCCGTCGCCTGGTTGAACCCCCTGCCTCCCGGTTGACCCCCCGGTCCCCGTACTCGACCATGAAATAAACTCAAAGTCCACCACAGCCACCAGCCTCCACCTCCACCGTCGAGCCGCGATCGCTGCCGCCCGCGACGCCGCCCGCCGCGTCAGATCGCCGCGACGCGCGCACCGAGTCGAGTCGGAGAGCCGCACCGCATCAGCACCAGCATCTGCACCACCAGCAGCAGCAGCAGCACCACCACCACCACCCGAGAGAGAAGCGCACCTGCCCGACGCCGCCCGCCGCGTCAGACGCTCGCGACGCGCGCGTCGAGCCCAGTCGCACAGCCGCGCCGCGCCAACAGCAGCATCGGCACCAGCAGCAGCAGCACCACCACCACCATCAGCAACAGAGACAGGCAGTGCAGGCGCAGAGGCGCTCGCAGAGCGGCGCTCAGCGCCGCGCACGCCACGCTGCGGACCGTCGGACGAGCGCACCGTACGTCGGCGGCGAGCCGCGTCGCCAGCCGTCTCGCGAGAGAGCGGCGCCGCCGCGTGCACGCAGCAGCCGCCGCGGCAGAGGCGAGCCGCGGCGACGTCCGCACTAACGGATAACGGCCATTGGCGGTTTCTCTCTCTCTCTCTCTCTCTCTCTCTCTCTCTCTCTGTTAGCTACGCCACCGTCTACCGCGTGCGACATGCGGTCGCCGGCATCGAGCGAGCAACGTGTTCGACAGAGCGGCTTGCTGTGCGGACGGGCTTCTTGTGGCTCTCGTCGAGAGCGTTTTGCGTCCCGGCGGGTGGGAGAGCATGTGTCGTATGATGTGTCACTGTGTGCGCGTCATTTCAGTCTTGATAATAAGCACGGTCGATCCGTCAAAGGACAAAGCGATACACTCATTCCTATCACGCTGGAGGGCTGGCACGGAGCTCTGTGCCGGCACACAGGAAGAGCCGTGCTGCTAGAGGAGCTCGATGGGGAGCGAGAGGAACCGCCAAAGGTGCTCACGGAGGTTTCGAACTCCGCCATGACTCCGCTCGCCATAAATTCTTTTTATTTCGGTTGCTCGCGGTTTGCTGGGTGGCAGTCCAGCTCCTACAAGCGTGGGGCATCACACACGCGCGTCACGATTGTCGTGCGGGCCCTCGCTTGCCCCGCTTGCAAAATGGTGCGTCGGACGATCAAGCACAATCCCGCCTTTGGCGTCGAGTGCGACTGCTGTCCGCCAGGCGGACTGTCCTTTCTCCCCGCACACGCAAAGCTGCAGAACCAGGTTATCCCAGCACGGCTGGCGCCGGCGCAGCGCGTCGCATTCCTCATGGGAGCCTCGAACACGTCGGCGCCGCGCCTGGCGGAGGAATGCGTGCGGCCACTGCGGTGCCTCCCTCTCGAGGCGATCCGGCGCATTTTTGAGCTCTGCGAGGAGAGGAGAGCATTGCCGCTCGCGCGGCGGCCGCCGCCGAGGCTAAAGCCTGCTGCGCCGCGGCACGGCGGCCTCGGGCCACGGAATCCACGCGACCCACTCGTCGCCGACGACATCGGGCTCGGTGCGCGCGCACTCGCACAAACAACCGCACACCCAGCACACGCGTGCCCCCGGCCCCAGAAGGTTGTGAGTTCTTCTCTCCAACACTCTGCCCATTACAATCGTTGTCTCCCCGGACACGCAGGCGCTCTGTCATTACAGTGCGGGCCGTGCTGAGTATCTTGGACGCGCTTGCTGCATTGTCCGGCACGGCGGCCGCGCTCACCGGAACCATAGAGCACCGGACACGTGCCGCCCCGCGCAATGTACGCGCACGTCAGTCATGTACCTCTGCGTCCTCGGGGAATTGCAGACAACCGCGTGATCGTGTGGAAATAAATAGACGCAAAAAAGAAGCCCGCGGCGCGGCCGGCACCCTCCAACGTGTGCCCCGCGCGAGAAAACGACTCATCCCCGCGCCGTGTAGGACCCGCGGTCACATCGCGTGGCGTCATCGGACATATATCGCGCGGCAAGGGGGCTAGAGCCAATAGGGGAAGGCAGGCCGGCGCCAACCCACGACTCGAGCGGCTCCCCGGCGCACACAGTCCACGCTCCTCGCCGGTGCCCACGGCGCGGGGCCTTCACTCCTCGGCGTGTCCTCTCAGTGGAAGAGGCCCGAGGCCGTCTCGCCGCCGTGCGGTGGCAGGAGGGGCGTCGCATTGAAGGCGGCGGCGTGCCACGGCACAAAGACCTGTTTGGGAGGGCGAGGTGGAAAGAGGAGAGGGTGGAAGAGGAGTGGTGGGAAGAGGCGGGGTGGGAAGAGGCGGGGTGGGAAGGGGGAGGGGGGGGGGAGGGGGGGGGGAGCGACCTGCTCCATCCATGGACGCTTCGCGGGCGGGACAAACGAGAAGAAGTTTGCCTGCCGGCGAGGCCAGAGGGCATAGGGCGGGGCGCGAAATTGGGGGGGAGGGGTGCGGGTACCCCCGCAGCCCCGGAAAAAAGGTCCCAAAAAATGAGGAAAGGACGTAGCTAGCGGCGGCTCAACCCCGCCTTGGTGACGCGGCGCGACCCCCCCTTCTCCGCAGCCTTGCGCGCCACGTCGGGCCGCTGCCGCGCCGACGCCTCGTGGGGGGGGGGGGGGGGCGGCCACGCGTGACACGCGCCTCTTCGCACCTCTGCCCGTGAGTCAACCCGCGGATGAGCGCGGCGCCTCGTTGAGCACGCCAGCCAAGTACGCGTACACACGCCCACTAACTACTTCGAGCTAGTCAACTCCTTCCTCAACCTCGTTGAGCACGCCAGCGAGGTACGAGTACACGCGCGGCAGCGACAGCTCCGCGGCCAGCTGCTGCCCGCGCGCCGCGAGGCACTCGCCTCGCTCCGGCGCCGCCTCGAGCCCATGGAGCGCCACCTGCGTCCCAACCGCAAACTGCAGCTTAACAACTCAGCGCTGCCACCGAACGCCGCTCGCCCCTCAGCGCCGCCTGCAGCCGCTCGCACACGTTGCTCGCCGTCGCAGGCACGAAGAGGAACGTCTCGCCCTCGAGGAGCAGAGGGCCTACGCCCCTCGGCTGACATCTCGCGCACATCTCAGCGAACCTCCCCTCCCCCCCCCCCCCCCCGAAACAGGGAGCGCAGCGCGCCCGAGAAGTCAAAGTGCTCAAACGCGTGCGGCGGCTGCACGCCGCCCGACGGCGCAGCACCAGCAGCGCCGGCAGCGCCAGAGGGCCTCCGGCGGGGCATCCGGCCGAGGAAGATGTTGACGGAGCCGCAAGCGAGCTGGTGCTTGAAGTGCTCGAGCCTGGGGGTCCGGGTGGAAGTTGGAAGGGGGGTGGGGGGGGGGGGGGGGTTGAGGGTGGCGGCGGCAGCCTCGAGGGGGCGCTGAGTGGATGGTGGATACAGTCTCGGGTGCTCTGGCGCTGTCACCAGTCGGAGATGCCGGGCAAATGGAGGATGTACTTGTAGCGGCACTGCTCCTCGAGCGGCGTCCACCCTCGCGGCTTGATGGAGCACGGCTCGCGCCACTTGCCTGCCTCCGCGCCGCCGGCTGGTGAGGAGAGGCCGGCTGCAGCGTGACGGAGAGAGCACGAGACTCGTGGGATGGCACAGATACTACTACCAAGTGCTGCTGCCAAGTGCTGCTGCCAAGTGCTGCTGCCAAGTGCTGCTGCCAAGTGCTGCTGCCAAGTGCTGCTGCCAAGTGCTGCTGCCAAGTGCTGCTGCCAAGTGCTGCTGCCAAGTGCTGCTGCCAAGTGCTGCTGCCAAGTGCTGCTGCCAAGTGCTGCTGCCAAGTGCTGCTGCCAAGTGCTGCTGCCAAGTGCTGCTGCCAAGTGCTGCTGCCAATGCTGCTGCCAAATGCTGCTGCCAAGTGCTGCTGCCAAGTGCTGCTGCCAAGTGCTGCTGCCAAGTGCTGCTGCCAAGTGCTGCTGCCAAGTGCTGCTGCCAAGTGCTGCTGCCAAGTGCTGCTGCCAAGTGCTGCTGCCAAGTGCTGCTGCCAAGTGCTGCTGCCAAGTGCTGCTGCCAAGTGCTGCTGCCAAGTGCTGCTGCCAAGTGCTGCTGCCAAGTGCTGCTGCCAAGTGCTGCTGCCAAGTGCTGCTGCCAAGTGCTGCTGCCAAGTGCTGCTGCCAAGTGCCGACTCATGGGTGGACGGGTGCCTCGAGCCTGCGAGAGTCGCGCCCGCGCCGGGCGGGCAGCGCCACGCCAAGTCGTGCATCTCCTCCTTGTCAGGCATCCGGTGCACAAGCCGGTGGCCAAAGGTTCGCGCCGCGCAGTGCTGGAAAGCCTCGCGCAGCGGGTTCGTCGGAGAGCCCACCCAGATCATCTCGTCGCGCTTCGCAGCTAGCCCGACGCCGCCACCGCCCGCACCGCCCACACCACCGCCCGCCGCGCCGCCGCCGCCCGCGTCGCCGCCCGCGCCGCCGCCCGCGCCGCCGCCGACCGTCGAAGCGAGCCAGGCCTCCCAGGGCGGGATCTGCGCGTAGGGCAGGCCCCAGAAGGTGTAGTCGGGCAGCGGGATGTCGGCGTGCGCCGCGCTCGTGGTGTACGAGAAGGCGAGGGGCGGGCCGTGGTCGGTGCGGCCGCCGAGCCGCTGGCTCAGCGGGGTGCCCGGCTTGTCTCTGCAGTTGACCGGGATGTCCACGTCGGCGACCGGGTGCCTCTCGAGCGTCTCGAGCAGTGCCCACGCGAGGATGGGCGACCGCCGGAGGACGCAGCCAAAGGTGTTGTGCTTTAGGTCCGGGTAGTAGAGCGCGCCGCCCACGACCTGGAAGCGCGTGCGGCCCCAGCTGACGAGCGAGTCGTACGTCTCCTGCATGTGCCGAGCGCTGACCGAGCGGTGTGGCCAGTGGCGGAGGAAGTGGCCCGGGAGCTCGCTGATGCTGTCGCGCGTGCGGGACCGATTGAGCGGCTCGCAGCCGTTTGCCGCCGTGGGCTCGGACCGCCGCAGCCGCTTCTTCCACCGACCGCGCCGCTTGGCGGGCATGCTGTAGGCGCGATAAAAAGAATTCGAGGTGGTTCGTTGGGGCGCCCAAAAGTTGCCACGCGACCGAGGAAGAAGTGACAAGGGAAAGAATGACGAGAGTGGGACGACCGCGAGGTGGCATGAAGGTTGCAGCGAGAATCGGAGAGAGACTGCGAAGAGAGATAGGAAGAGGCTGGGAAGAGGCGGACGCCCAAGGGTGGGCGGCGGCTAGCGCATCACACCCCTCTCCTTAAAACCCCCTGTGTGGTGGCGGCGTGCCGTCCTCCCATCCCTCCCTTGGGGTGTCTGTTTTCTTTCTTTTCAAAAGTTGCCACGAGAAAAACCCCTCGAAACGGCTGACACCAAGCCATCCCTCGTTTGGGTTGTCTGTTTTCTGTCTTTCTTTCTTTTCCCATGCTAAGAAAAGGAACGGCGCCAGCCGCCACATCCTTCGACCAGCCTCTAGCTACAAGTAGGTAGGGGAGGAGGGGAGGCGACATGGTCGCGGACAACCGCTGTAAATGCGCCTCTTGCCACTCTCGGATCTGCTGATCGTTCTTCCACGATCCTTCCTCTGGGGACTCTGTCCTTCTCCCACCCTCGCGGTGTGCTGCTTTTGGCTAAAAAAATCTTTTGCGGGGTCGCCCGCCGTGACAACTTAGTTCCCGCGACGGCCAGTTCCCCCCTCACTAGTGGTCGCTTTGCCACCACAGGTATGGCAGTGGGCCTCTCGAGACCACCGTCGTCGAAATTCATTGTGGCCGTCGCGCTGACGCTCTGCACCCTCCCCTTCAAGAAACCGAGTACATGCTGCTCCTCCGTCGTTGCCGAGGCCTCGCCTCACTAGCGCCAACCGTGCGCTTGCTTCACCGCCACCGGCAAGGCGATTGCCAAAAGCCGACGTCTCCGGCATGGACTGCGTGTGTTGCGGCTACGGTTCTGGGCAGCGTCGTTGGCGGATGTGCCGCCTTTGGACTCGTGGGCGGCGGCTGGCTCGAAGAGAGGTTTGGCCGCTGCCGCAACGCAGAGCCGCCGCCAGTGGCGCTAAGCCTCGAGCGCTTCGGCGAACGACCGATCGAATGGCAATTCTGTCTGGGTCTGTACCGCCTGGAGCAGCGCGAGGTCAACGGGCAGCCGTGCTGGCGGCACATTGAGGAGCCGCGCCTGTCCCTCTCTCGAGCTCCGTATGGGAACGGCTGGTTTTGTCAACTTCACGACGAGCTGGGCAGGTCGCGTGGCATTTTGCGCCTTCGCGAGAACAAGTCGTCGCCTGCTGGCAGCTGTGCCGCACAGTGGGAGCAGGACTTGGGCGGCGAAGTGGGGTGGGTGCCGGCGGACGTGCATTGTGTTTCGCTCGACGAGGGCGAGTTTGGGGCTGCCAAGGAGCGTGCGAGTCACGAGCGAGAATCGGCACGTCGATTGGCCCCGGCCGGCCTCAGGCTGGAAGGCGCATGCAAGCAAACCCTCGCGCTGGGTGTGTACGAGAAGTCCAGCCAGCGGACGGTGTGCGGCAGGGCGGCGTGGCAGCACACGGAGCGACCCACGCTATGGCTGGCTTACACCGGCCTCGGCTCTTGGAACGTGCAAACCGAAGATGTGCTCGGCCAGCCGAAGGGCTTGCTTCTTTTGCGAGACGCACGGTGCGCAGACCCGTCAGAGAGCTGGCGCGCCTGGCAGTACCCCAAGGTTCTACCAAGTCCAAAGAGATCGCCGGTATTATTCGCATCAGTGCTAGCAAGTCTCGCTGGGAGGAGGTCCCCGACACGCGTTGCGTGGAGTTGGCCGCTCAAGAACTGGCAATGGTCAAGGCGGAACAGGCCGCTGCCACCGCTAGGACAACCGCAAGAGCCAAACGCGCCCTCAATACAAACTCGCCTCGCTAGATAGAGGACTCCGCTCTCTGGCATCGATCGAGGAGAGCGCTGCCACACGCCGCGAGGAGAGGCCCTGAGCCGTGCAAGAATAGATTATCGCTATCGGCGGCCCGGCCCGTTTCGACTGCTAAGCCTAAGGGCTGTTGTTTTCTTGCTTTATCACAGCAAGCAAGCGAACGAACGAACGAACGAAGCTGTGTGTGGCGCTGTGGCGCGGCATGTTTTTGTACTGATTGAATTGCCTGACTGACAGAGTGAGCTCCAAACTCAGCTCACTCAACGGCGCCAACATTCACAGGGTTGCGTATATCATGGTGGATGAACACACCAGTCAGTGAGGGAGGGCGAGACGATCGAGGGGTCCCGTACCATGCGGAACCGACCCTATCCAGTGCTCAAGTGCTCTCATGGTGGATGTCCGAGACACGCGCTGCCAAGTTTGGGCGTTTTGGCAGCCGGAACGTCCGACACTACGATTTGCGCTTGCTTTTCCAGCCAGCAGCCGGGCACAACCACAACGATGTTCTTCGCGCTCGCCTCCACGCTCGGAGCGCCCGTCACTCCCTCCACGCTCGGAGCGCCCGTCACTCCGTCCGACGAGCTGAGCGCCCGCCAGCTGACAGCGGTTGCGCCAAAGGTCGTGTACGGCAACGACGACCGACGAGACTGGCACGAGCTGGACTCCAGCGACTCCGATGACGCCCTCGCGCTTGGCCTCCTCGAGAACTCCATCATGGCGCACATCTTTCGATCGGACCTTGGCAGCCCCGACTCGGACGGCGTGTACCGCGTCCTTGACGACTACCCGGACTCCTTTCGACTTGGGCCAGCGCGCAATATGTGCCCGAACCAGAAGTTCCTGCAGCACCCGCGGCTATCCTACTGCTCGGCCACGCTGGTCGGCAACAGCCATGTCATAACGGCTGCGCACTGCGTGTGGAACCAGATGCTATGCGACGACGCTGCATTCGTCTTCAACTACTACGTCACAGGCTACGACGACAACGGGAACCCCAAATTCCCAGCAATCACGCGCGACGACGTTTTCTTTTGCAAGTCGGTCAGCACCAACTACAGGGAGGACTCGTCTGGGTACTCAAGCGGCACCGACATTGCGTACATCACGCTGGACAGGGCTGTCCCCGGCCGCACCCCGGCCAGCTATCACAAGACGCTGGTTCGGACCACGCCGCGCCAGAAGCTGCTCATGGTCGGCTTTCCGGACGGCCTTCCAGCCAAGGTGGAGGCTGGCGGCAAGGTCACCGACATCGGGGCGGATACAGGCTTTGAGTCCTTTCTCGCCTCGACCGACGCGTTCGGAGGCAACTCTGGCAGCGGCGTCTTCGACGAGGACGGGACGATGATTGGCGTCCTTGTGCGTGGGGCGACAGACTACGTCCAGAGTGGCGGGTGCACTGTTGTCAACGAGCTCCCAAACTCTGACGGTGGAGAAGGCATCATCTACGTCGACCGCGTCGTCAGCCTTACGAACCCAGTGCCGCCCCCGTCGTCGAGCCCGAGCCCGGGCAGGTCATGTGAGGCCGCGCTGTCGATTGACGCGTCAAGCGCATTCTCGGTGCACATCGCCGATACCTCGCTCGGCGTGGGCCCGTCCAGCTACGACGCCTCGCTCTGCCTTGACACCGCATTCGGAGGAGCAGGACCAGTCTTCTGGATCAAGCTTGATGGCGTGCGTCCGGGCAACGAGCTTGACCTGACCACCTGCGGCTTCGACACCGACCTCTCAGTCTTTGAAGGCTCGTGCAGCAGCCTCTCGATGGCGGCGTGCGACGGCGACTCTGGCTCGTGCAGCGTCGACTACGGCTCCTCCATCGACGACTTTGTGCCCAAGGCGGATACGCAGTACTACATCGTTGTGGGTGGATACGGGGGTGAGTCGGGCGCCGCAACGCTGACCGGCACCTACTCCTCGACAGATCCCGAGCCGCCGAACCCAACCTCGAAGCGCTACGTCGAGTGCGGCCGCCGGAACAGGTGCTCCGAGGAGCCCAAATGGGCCGACGTCGACGAGAAGCACGAGGTGCGCTGCTGTGCTGACGAGCGGATCTCAAACTCCTGGAAGAAGAATGACGGGTGCTCGGTGTGGGGGGAGTCGAACGGTGGCTTTGCTTGCGCCCACCGGAAGACGTTCGTCGAGGCCAGTTCCATCTGCGAACTTGCGGGTGCCCGCCTGTGCTCTGCCGCAGAGCTCGCAGCTGGTTGCGCGGCGGGCACGGGCTGTGGCCACGATTCTGACCTTGTCTGGAGCAGCGACGAGGAGCCGTCGTCGGCGCCGCCGTCGACATCCATCTCGCCGCCGCCCCCACCCTCTCCGAAGCCCTCTCCACCGCCGCCGCCGTCGGCGTCCTCCTCGCCGCCGCCGTCCTCCTCACCGCGGCCTCCCCCCTCACCGCCGCCGCCCCCCTCACCGCCGCCGCCCCCCTCGCCGCCGCCGCCCCCCTCGCCGCTGCTCTCGCCACCGGGCGTGTGTGTCGACGATCCCAACTGTCCGCACCTCAACGACGGCGACTGCGACGACGGCGGGCCGGGCTCTGACTACGACATCTGCGACTTTGGAGGCGACTGCTCCGATTGTGGAACGCGAGCACCCGTGGAAATGCGGTGGGTCGAGTGCGGCCGTGCCGGGAGGTGCAGCAATAATGAGCCGTCTCGATGGGCGGACTCGTCAGAGACGCACGAGGTGCGCTGCTGCTCCGACTCGCCCATCGACGGTTGGACAAAGCGTGGGGACAGCTGCCCGTGGGCGGAGTCGGACCGCGGCATGGATGGCTGCCACAGTGACAAGACCTTTGCCGAGGCGGAAGCCGTCTGTGAGGCTGCCGGTGCTCGCCTCTGCACCAAGGAGGAGCTGGAGGGGAACTGCACCCGCGGCACCGGCTGCGGCCACGATGGGGAGTTGATCTGGTCGTCAACGATGCAGCCCTAGCAGCGGCCCTGGGCATCCTTCAGGTGAGGTCCCCCTCGGCTGGGGCTGCCTGGCACATCTTATATATTGGGCATGCAGCGCTGGCGTTGTGGGGCGCCGCACAAAAGGACACATGGTGGGGATGTGTTCACTATCTGTTTACTATGAGTAATATGAGAACGAGTTCCATAGAGAGGCATCCGTGATAAGTGCGGATCGAGGCTCGTAGCCGTCTCGCGGCTAATTCTTTATTGTGAGCCGGTGTGTGTGCCAGTCCGCGCCAGTCCGCGCCCTTGTCGTGCCAGTGTGCTGTGATTTCGCGAAGAATTCTTTATTTCCACGATGTCCTCAGTGCGCCGCTCCAGCCTCGTCTGCCTCCTCGGCCTCGTGGCAGTCACGAACGGCCTGAAGCTGGGCGCGCGCGCGTCGCGTACGCGGAGCGCGGCGATCATGCAGTTTGACTTTCTGAAGAATATGATGCCAAAGCAGCGACCGACGGTGTGCGCCTCTCTCGGCCCTCCTCCTGTCCTGACACAACCTCTCTCAGCCCTCCTCCTCTCCTCGCATAAGCAGCGCCGCTGCGCCTTTCCTCGCAGGACGCCGACGTGACTACCACCGTCTACTTTGACATGTCCATCGGCGGCGAGCCCGCGGGCCGCATCGAGATGGGCCTCTTCGGTGGAGCGGTGTGCCTCCGCCATCGTCGCCCTCGCCACCAAAGTTCTCTCTCGCGCGATCTCTTGCCACCACCCGACGCCAGGTACCCAAGACGGCGGAGAACTTCCGCGCGCTCTGCACCGGCGAGAAGGGCTTTGGCTACGCCGACTCGCCGTTCCACCGCGTGATCCCGGGCTTCATGTGCCAGGGCGGCGACTTTACGAACGAGAATGGGACCGGCGGGAAGTCCATCTACGGGACCAAGTTTGAGGATGAGAACTTCGACCTCGGACACGGCGGCCCAGGTGGCGGCAGCTTGTCACATCCTCGAATTCGCCGCGCCTCCTAGTACCTCACCCTGCCCTTTTGTGCCCCAGGCACCCTCTCGATGGCCAACGCGGGCCCAAACACAAACGGCTCCCAGTTCTTCATCTGCACCTCCGACACCTCCTTTCTCGACGGCAAGCACTGCGTGTTTGGAAAGGCGCGGCCGCCTCTCCAAACTAGTTGCCCGCCGCCACCGGCCCGGCCCGCCGCCAGATGGCTCGCCGCCGCCGCCACCGGCTCGCCGCCGCCCGTCCCAGGTTACTTCAGGCATGGACGTGGTGAAGAGGATCGAGAAGGAGGGCTCGCAGAGCGGAGCGACGCGCCGCCCGGTCCGCGTCGCCGCGTGCGGCGAGGTGTGACTCTAGGGGAGGAATGTACGGCTCTGTCTCTAACAGCAAACACCAAACTGAGGGCCGCGCGGCCGCGTGCGCGGCGCCCACCGCCCAGCCCCGCAGGCATGGCCGCAGGGCGCAGCGGCCAGCGCCCAAAGCCGCCACGAGAGCACGAGCAGGATCTACTTTGTGCGAATGTCCATGGAGCATGCGAGCATGGCATACGTTTTACTATTAGTTCATGTGTGCGTCACAACACAACTGTCCGTGGAACTCACACACAACTCTCGACGCATCTCAGTGTGATCAAACAGATCCCCATCAACGACAACCGCCCAAAAACACACAGGCGGGCCACACAACGTAGCGCTCTCAGACCCATCGGAGCAGAAACACAGTCATCAAAGCGAAGCATGGCTACATGTACAGAGCAGCGCTGGGGGGAGGCGGCTTATGCCGCGCTCCGCGTTCGCCGAAGAGAAGCCGGGCCAGGAGCAGAGCCTCCCTCCTGCCGCCTGCTCCTCGCACCGGCTCCGGCCTGTCCTCCTCTCGCCGCCCAGCCGGGGCGAGGCTGCGGCGGGCCGGAAGTGCGTGCAGCGGGCGGCCATGCGGGCGAGTGGGGGCCAGCTCGGCCTCTAGTTCGCCTTTCCGTCGCCGAGCGGTGCGGCGGCGGCGGCTGCCTGCTCATAGACGAAGTCATACTCGAGCGAGTTGGCCTTGCCGAGCGAGGTTGGCACGACCTGCCCGACCAGCGCCGTCGCGGGGCCGTTGCCCTTCCCGTCGCCGAACGGCGTCGCGCGCGCGGCGGCCGAGTTATAAACAAACTCCTGCTCCAGCGCCGGGTAGGCGACCTGCGCGGGCATCGCCGGCTTGGCGGGCGCGTCTGGCGAGTTGCCCTTGCCGTCGCCTAGGGGAAGGAGGGAGATGCGTTTCCCTCTCAGGTGTGAGCCGTCTGGCCACCGCGCAAATGATCACGGAGATTGGTGGTGCCGGGTGTCGCGCGGCAGTCTCGGTGTGCATGTCAGTTCTGTCCATCGAGTATGTTACGCACCGAGCGGCTTGGCGTTGGCACCCGCCGACTCGTACACGAGCGTGCTCGCCCACGACCGCTTCGGATAGGCAGGAGCAGGGGTCTGCCTGTCAAATTTCATGTCGCCCTTTCCATAGCCCGCCGGCTTGGCGTTGGAGCCAGCCTGCTCGTAGACGAATTTGTACTCGAGGCTATTCATCGACACGACGGGAGCGCGTGCCGATGCGGGGCTGCTCAGCCGCGCGTGGTTGTGCATCGTGAACGCGAGCGAGGTAGAGAAGAGGCTCACCATTGTTTTGGAAGGCTTGTGGGATGGGAAGCGATGCGAAGGAGGGGCACACTTCGCCGACCGATTACGAATGAGCCGTAACGATCTGCGCTGCACTTGAGCACTTGAGCACTGGATAGGGTCGATTCCGCATGGTACATGACCCCTGCTGCTGTTACCTCCGGTCCACACGGGTACTCCCGTGCTAGGACAACAAGGAAGGCCCCACGGTACACGGCGTCTCCACACTAGGCGAGTCACACATGTGTCGGGATTGGGATCAAAGCGCTGACTGAGAGTCATGAATGAATGTATGTATGTGCATGTTGTCATGCGAGACGCTCCCGGCGGAGCGACTCATTCATCTTGGCTTGGGTCTGCTGCGCGCTGCTCCGGGGGAGCTTTGCTTTGTGGTGCGGTCGCTGTGGCCTCTGCGAGGAAGAGGAAGCCGAAAGACTTCTACTGACTGGAAATCGTCGCCGAAATGGACAGGTACGCGGCTGCGCTCAGTGCGAAGTTCTCCCCCGAGTGCATGTGCCTGCAGGACGTGAGCGACGGGCATACACGGCAAGGCTTCGCCGACGGAAGGGTGAAGAAAACGCGAACAACCAATTACTCCTTGTCTCTACACATTACCTGCCCTTGCCACGCTAGGCGCTCGACGCGGAGGGCTTGGAGATTCTCCTGCTCCTCGTCAGTTCCGCCTTTGAGGACCTAGCAGCGCTGCAGCGGCAGCAGGCTCCGTCCTGCCTTTCTCTGTGTCACCTCTGGAGAGCAGCGCTCAGCCGCTGGACCCTCCGGCCCCTCTCCCCTCCCGGCCATCCTCACCCCCCGAAGCAGGCGGTCAATGACATCCTCGGCCCAGACCTGCGAAGTGGCAAAATTCACTCGATTCAGATGCGGTGGCGACTCCACACAACACACCGATCTCTGACACTCACTCCTCCGCCTTCCACACAGAGCCGCCCTCCCATCAGGTGCTGGACGCCGGCGCAGTGGCAGAAGAAGGGCCGCCCAACAACGCTGCGGTCCGGCGTCCCTTGCGCGCTCATCGCCCTCTCCGAGTCTCCGCTCCTCTCCCTCCCGGCGGCATCCCCCGCCGCCGGCCTCGCCGGGCCGCCTGTGTGCTCGCTGCCGCCATCAAAGGTGTCATCCGAGCCGAGCCTGCCGACGTGGAAGCTGCCGCCAAAGATGGTTGAGCACCAGCAGCTCTGCGAGTGTGGCGGTGGCGCGGTCTCGTGAGGCGGCGTGCCTACTTGGCCGGGTTTTGCGTGTTTTGAGGACTTGTGCGCGTGGCTGATGCTAGCGGCTGATGTGGCGTCAGGTGTGTATGTGGTGTGGAGGGAACGTCTGCATGGACATGGTTGGGAGGCTACACGGGCGACACGAGGGTCCTCGCGCTATCGCTCTCGATCCTCTCTCTCCGCGTGGTCTGTGATTGTGTTTTTTTTGCGCGTCATGTGTGTGTGTCGTCCGCCCAAACTCTTGATGATGTGTTGAACCATTTCTAACTCACAACTTTCTAGTCTCTCTCTATATATAAAGCAATGCAATCTCCGCTCATCCTAACATAAGTGGACGTCGACTCCACCGACGTGCGACGAGACGTGTGTGCGCCCACGGCGCGCGCACCGGGGCCCACGTACACGCTCTCTCCGACGTCCGAGACCGCGAGAGCGAGACGCGCGAGGTCGATCACAGCATGCGCTCCAATCGCTGGTTCGACTCGTTGCGCCTCGGGTGTGCGCCTCTCGCCGCACACCGGATTCCTGCTCGCACGACCGTGTCGACGCTCGCGACGCGCGCCCGGCAAGAGGCTACTCGACTCTCTCTCTCTCTCTCTCTCTCTCTCTCTCTCGCACCGCTCGCTCGCCCCTTGCGTGGGTCCGAGCTTACTACACTAACGCCTCTTGTGTGGCGGGCGGGTGCGCCTCTCACGCCCCTCTCACCGGAGGGTGTCGGGGAGGACGGCCTGCTGCTGGTTGGCGAGGAGCACGTCCCCCATGGAGGGCGTCCTGGAGAGGCCCGACGCTGTCGCAGCCTCCGAGAGCGCGTCCTCGTCCTCGCGCGGGTCCTTGCCCTCCGCCTTGGCCTTGAGGCCCTTGCCGGCGGAGGTGAGGACCACGACCCGCGGCGACTTGGCCACCGCCTCGCCCTCTCCTACAGACGCAGAGAAGGCGCGTGGCTGGTCGTGCTGGATGGGCGCTTGCCCGCTGCTCGCCGCCCTCCGCCTGCGCTCCTCCGCCCCTCCTCCTTGCGCCTCGCCGCCGCGTCCTGCTCGCGCCTGGCGGCGCCGCGGCGCTCGTACTGCATCAGCCGGCCTGCGGCGGCACCGAGGGGTGGTGGAGAGGGAGCGACGGCCACCCCTAGCCCTCTGAGAGATCGGCTCTCGCCAATGTGCCACGAGAGGAGCGGGTGCAGCAGCGCCGCGACGACGAAGCCGCCGCCGACGATGAGAGCGATGTGCGACACGTCGCCGGCCGCGTGCGTGAAGCGGGCGCCCCACTGAGTGATCCTCTGCGCGTGCTGGCCGAGGACGGTCGCGGCGAGGCCGAGCGCGCCGACCACCGCCGCAGCGTGGTGCGGCGGCAGCGCCGTCAGCTGGAGCGCAAAGCCGAGGACGAAGCAGATAAACTAGGAGTTGGGTCGGGGTGCGCGCGTGTGGGGCCGTGGGTGGCAGAGGGGCGGGAGGCGGGAGGTGGACGATGGAGGGTGGAGGGTGGAGGCACTCGCACCTGCACGAAGCGCGGATCGCCGCGCTTGCGGTAGACGAAGGCGAGGTTGACCACGGAGAGGGCGAGGTTGGGCAGGAGGGCGACGAGGTCGACCTTCGCGTGCAGAAAGTAATAGGCGACGACCGCGTTGGCGGCATAGGCGGTCGCGTTGAAGGCGAAGGAGAAGGTGGTGGCCGAGATGAAGCCATGGAACTTGAGCGTCTGGGGGGAGGCGGCGGCAGCCCGTCGGGGAGCGGCGGGAGGGGAGAGGCGTGTGCGGCGTGTGCGGCGGGAGGGGCGGGAGGTGCGGGAGGTGCGGCGCCTGCAGGAAGAAAGCGGTGGTCACGTTGTGCGCGATGTCGAGCGAGACGAAGAGCGGGACGAAGCGCCACTCGGGCGGCAGCAGGCCTCGCATGTGCAGCGACACAAAGTAGGGCACAGCCACCTGCCGGCCCGAGATCCGCCGAGATGAGCCGAGATGCAGCCGAGGCGCGAGGCGGGGTGCGCCGCCGCCTGCGACTTGAAGACATAGTTGAGCCGCACCACCTTGACCTGCCGAGGGACGGGCGGGGCGGGAGGAGCGCTCGTCGCACAGCGCGCACGGCGGGCCGCCCCACATCCTACCGCCCACGTCCCAGCCCGCCCACATCCGCGCCACCGGGCGGCGGAGCTGACGCCGGCAGCGGCGGCGGCGTGGTGCGGCTGGCGCTCTCTCGCCTGCAGGTTGATCCACGCCACCCGCCAGGCCGAGAGCTTGCGTCCGTTGGCCGCCTCATTGCCCGCCTCCCAGTCGGCGTACGAGGTCTTTGGGAAGGTAGCGCGCGACATGAACCAAAACATGGCGAAGGAGAAGTAGGCGAGCTTGGCCGCCGCGCCGCGCGAGGAGGTCGGGTGCTCCGCCGCCGACCCCTCAAAGCACGGCAGGAAGGCGCCGTGCTGCAGCGCGATGACCACCTGCGCGAGCAGGGCCGCGGGGAAGGGTTGCGGGAGTCGTCGGGAGGCGCTGTGTCAGGAGTATGGGAGGACGGTGAGCCGCCCCCAAAGACTACGATCTCCAGCCAGAGCTCCCATTGGAGGCCGTTTCTATGGCTTCCCTCTCTACCCGAGGCTCTGCTCGGACCTGGAACCAAAAGTTCTCGACGAGGAAGCCGTACCTGCGGTGAGCACGGGCGGCAGGGGATCACGGCTGACGACGAGATTGGCGTGGTGGGGCAGGAGGCTGAGGAGGTTTGGTCCTCTCCTCTCCTCTCCTCTCCTCACCTCTCTTTTCTCCTCTCCTCTCCTCTCCTCTCCTCTCCTCTCCTCTCCTCAAGGAGGGTGCGGAAAGCGGCGGGGCTGGGCGGCGAGGCTGGCGGTAAGGCGAACGGGAGAGTAAGTGCGTGCGCTGTGGCCGAGCTCCGATGTGGAGCGCGGCGGAGAGGCCAGAGTGGAGAGGCGGGGAGAGAGGAGCGAGGAGGTGCCGCTCACGAAAACGTCCGGCTCTCGGCGAACATGCCCTTGTTGACGTCGGATTTGGCTAGGTGGCCAAAGTTGCGCAGCGCCGAGGCTGTCACGAGGCACCCACACACTTTCATGGCCATGAACCACAAAAAGTCGGCGCTGTAGCGCCGCTCGCAAAACATAAAGCCGTAAAAGTCGAGCGCTTCGAGAACGAGGTAGGTGACACCGAGCACCTTGTGGTCCGAATGCCGGAGCGGGTTGACCAATGTCCTGAAATTCATCACGTGACCGTTCGCGCCGGCCGGGCCGGCAAGTGGGCGATCAGCGCAAGGTCGACCAAGGGATGAGAATCGGCGCGGGTTCCCTTTCTTTGAAATGCGAAACTCCAGAAATAGCGCGCGGTTTGAAGAGCTTTTGAAAGACAAAGTTAGCCCGGAAAAGAAACCTAGCATCCTGTACAGATCCGCTTGGTTCGATTCATGGAGGCAGGCATCGCCGATGTGGTCTAGCACAAAGACAATTGCTTACGAGGTCAACCACTGCTGGATCTCTCCGCTTCGCCGAGGGCCGGCGGAGGTTGCGGACGCAGAATGCGAGGTGGAGCGGGCGAGGGCTGCCGCCGTGGCTGCGGCGAGTTCGGCAGCTGCGGCGGCAGAGGCGGCGGTTGCGGCGGCCACGGAGCGGCGGAGGGCCGTGGTGGTCGCTGCAGCGTCACGAAGCGGGGGCCACAGCACTAGCTTGTGGCGCCGGAGCCGGCGTCCCAGCCTCACCGCAGAAGCTGCCTCCTCCTCGGGAGTGAGTGCGGCGGCAGCGGTGTCGGAGATCCACGCCAACGCCGCGGCGGCGGCAGCCAACCTCGAGTCTCACGACGTCAAGCGCACGGCCGTGCCTGTCCGCCTCGCCGACGATGTGGGCGTCCGGCCTGTTGACCTCGCCGCCGCCCGCTTCGCCGGCAGAGCAGAGGTGCTCCCGCCGCTGCCGTCCGGCCTGCTGCTCGCGCTCCTCCTCCTCGCTGTGTCGACGCTGGGCCCGGCCCTCGTCGAGATCTGGTCGCGACTCCACCGGCGCAGAGGCCGTCTTCGCGCAGAGGGCATCGGAGGGGAGAGAGGCGAGGCTGGCGGCGGCGAGGCTGGCGGCGGCGAGGGCGCAAACCGGCCGGCTGAGGAGTGCAGCGGGGAGGAGGAGGAGGAGGAGGAGTGGCTGCGTGCCGTGACCGCCTCTGCCGCCAAGCTGCCGACGAGGGCGGTGAGGGCGGCGGGCGGGCACGCGAGGTGGGAGCAAGGCTGGCGAGAGCAACAGCGAGCGCTCGCCCTCGCGTCGCTCGGCCGTCTTTGCTCCGGCGCGGCGAGGCAGCGTGCGCTGCTGTGCTGGCGGAGCGCGGCGGCGGCGATTGCCGCCGACGAGGCGCTCGCGGCGTCCGAAGACGAGCGCGCGAAGGCGCGAGAGAGGGGGTGGGAGGGGGTGGGAGGATGAGGGTGAGGCGGATGAGAGGGGTGAGGACGGGTCGGAGGGCCTCAGTGCGTGGCACACGGCCCACTAACTTGTCCGCCAACACCGCGGCACGTCCCTTCGGCACGTCCCTCGCGGAGCCCCCCCGCCTCCCCCGCCCTCCCAGGCGTTGGGCGAGCGCGACCACGCGCTGGGCCTCCTTCACACCTTCGAGGCGAGATGGCCCGAGATGGCCCGAGATGGCCCGAGATGGCCCGAGATGGCCCAAGATGGCCCGAGAGTATTCTCCACTGACGAGGACATCAGCCGCCGCAAGAGGAGGAGGAGGAGGAGGGGCCTCTTCGCCGAAGCCTCTCGCGCCCTTTCTGCAGGCGAGGCTGCAGCCGCCGGAGGAGGAGGAGGCTGCTGCAGCCGCCGGGCGGATCGGTGCTGCTGCAGCCTCCTCGGCGGCGGATCGGTCGCTCGGCGTCAGCGACGCATCCGTCGAGATTGCAATGTCCCTCCGCTCGCTGCGCACAAACCTCTCGCGCGTCACGGAGCCGGCAGCCGGAGGGCACAGGCGCACTCTCCCCGCCGCCCTCCCCGCCGCCCTCCCCGCCGCCCTCCCGCTGCCGCCGCCGAATTTGCTTTGCGTCGGCGGCGGCGCACCGCCCCCGCCAGACCCGTGACCCATTGCGCCTCAGGCTGGCGGACCGCTTGGCCGAGGTTCCTCGCCTCGCGTCGGTGGCCACATCACTGCTGCCGCGGCTGGCCGGCACAGTCTCGCCCTCGCGCCTCTTCTCGCACATGCTGCGCGAGGCGCCGCCCGAGAGAGAGTGCTCTCACCCTCCCCCACCCCACCCACCCAACCCCGCACCCACCCAGACCACCGCCACCACCTTCCGCAACCCTCGCCCGCCCCCGACGGCCCCTCACCCGCCCCCGACGCCCCACCCCACGCGGTCTTCGCCCCGCCCCTTCCAGGTCAACGACGCGCTCGCCCTCGAGGCGGAGCGCAAGCGGCGCGCCGAGGTCCTCGCTGCGACGAGCGCTGCGCTGCGGGGCCTGCACGGCGCGGCGGAGCACGGCGCGGCGGAGGCGGTCGCGGCGGAGGAGGTCGCCTCGCTCGGCCTGCCAAGGCGAGGGCCGTTGCCCGCGGCCCCGCGCCTCTGCGCGTGGACAGTCGAGACAGACTCGTAGCCCGCACCGAGCCCCGGCCCGCCCTTCGCCGCTCAGGATCTCGCGGCGGAGGTCCAACCTCACGGCGGAGAACGTGCAGCGGCACGAGAAACTGCTGAGCCCCCTCCGCGTGCCGGAGCTGCTCGGCCGCAACCCCTCGGGCACTGCCCCGCGCGGCGGCTGGCCAAGGAGTCCGGCGGGCTACGCGCACAGCCACTAGCCTTGGCGTGTATTGACAGTGATGTATTACATGTAGGATACGTACATCCCACCGCAATCGTTTCTAGAGCGACTCAAACTCCTCATCAAGACACTCTCAATCAGGGGGCAGGGCGCGCCGCGGGCGCCGCGCGCACACCAAAACCCACACGCCCCTAGCATGCTGAACGCAACGTAGGGCGTCAAGCGCCTCCCCGTACCACATCATCTGGCACCCCCATTACGTGCTCATACCATGCCATGCATAAAGTACCCAGCGGGGCGGGAAGCACCTCACATAATGCAAAAGCAAGCACGGGGTTGCGCCCCCCCGGCAGGCGGCATCGCCGCGGCGCGGAGAATGGAGTCTCGCAGGTCGGGCGTACGCCCCGCGCCCAGCATTGCCCCTAGTAGGTGTAGCATCCCCCTCACTCCGCCGCCGATGCACTCCTCGAGCTCAACAGGCTCACTTCCCAAGGGGTCTGCGGCGGCCGCTCCGGCGCTCTCGCTCTGTCGGTCTGGGGCGGAAGCAGCTCGCGGGGCCTGCTGGGCACGGCTCGGCGGCAGCTCGAGGGGCTCCGCTCCCAGCAGCGCGAGCATCGACGCTCGCCGCCCCTCCCGCGAGCAGCCTGCGCCACACGCCTCCTGCATGAGCGAGGGCGACCACGACTGCATCCGCCTTAGCTTGACCGGGGAGGTCTGGCGAAGCGTGCCGAGCGAGACTTTGGCGGCCTCGCTCAGGTGCGAGGTGACCGGGTGACAGGCGACCGCCATCAGTGCCGTCTTCTGACGCTCGTGTGCTCTTGCGGGAGCTCGCGGGGGGGACCACTCACTCAGGAGAGGGGGGAACATAAGATTTGGAAGATTTCGTCGCTACCCGGGTATCAGTTACAAGATTCTGGTGTGGACAGGCACGAGGCACCGCCTCCGAGATGCATGAGGTATTTCCCTCTCTAAGAGCCAGAATAAAACATTTGAGCCGCGACGGTGCCCGCCACTCGCCCGTTGTGAGAGCTGAGAGGGAGAGAGGCCTGCCTTGTGGCTGTCGCGGCAGAGAGAGACAACAAGAAATCACGACTTTCTTCTCGCGGCAGAGCCCCACGAACGCGACGCGACGGAGAAAATATCCTATGACGCTGTGCGCTGGTCCCTATGAGAGGTTGAGGTGCGAGCCCTGGAGGCCCTGGGGATGGAGGGAGACTACCCGCGGGCCTAGAAGGTCCTTCACACCCAAGGACGAAAGAAGCACGCGCGTTCTTTGCGGGAACCACCGGGGTGCGTTCTTACCCCGGAGCGACCTCCTCACACTCAGCCTGCGGAGGCGGTAGCGCTGCAGCCTCAGCGGCTCCGGCCTCATGCAGCACAACGAACGAAAGACATCGCCCGCAGCCCTCGAGAGAGCTGATGAAGCCGCCACGTAGCGAAGTACATCTCTGCAACCAGCGGACTCTACCCACCGCTCGAGCTCCGGCGCGGCGTGAGCGTTGCCAGCACGCTCACATCCTTCGACTCGCTGTCCAGCTGCCACTCGACCAATATCTTTGCCACGCAACCGGACAAGCTGGCACTTCAAGATCGCGAGCGCCTCTTCCATCGGTCGCGGCCTGTCTGCGCCATAGACTGCTTCGTTTCGCACGCCTGGCGGTCAGAGGGAAGCCGCAAGTGGATGGCCCTCGCTCTCCACGAGGCCGGCCTCGTTCCGCTGGCCGTCGCCCTGCTCGCGTGCCTTGCGATGGGCTTGATTCAACGTTCGGTCAAGCTGCCTGGCAACGTCCGCCTGGTGGCTGAGAACCGCATCGCTTTCTACGTGTCACCATATGAGTACACCGCTGGGCTGCTCGCCGCCGTCGCCTCGATCTTCCTCCTCCTCGCCATGCAGCGCACACGCACTTACTTTGTTGACGCGGCGTGCATCCACCAAACGAACCGAGCTCTGAAGACTCAAGGCATCCGGCATTTGGCAGGTTACGTGGCAATGTCGTCGAAGCTGCTGGTCCTCTGGGATACCCAGGTTGATGATCAGTAGCTTGGTATTTGCACCATAGTGTCGCAATTTGTGCCACGCTTGGATAATCAACGCTTCTGAGCTCCCCGGCCCTGGATGTGCGGTTAATGACTGCACTCCAAGTGCTCCTCGCATCTGTCCACGCCACACACACACCCTGACACACACGGGCAGAGAGAGGAGCCCCACTGGGCGGCCACACGGCAATCTTATAAGCGGTGCGCAAGGTTCGGTGCACGTGGGTGAGCAACCCTCGGGCCTGCCAAGCGATGGTAAAATAAAAAAGAATTCAGTAGTGGCCATCTCAGAGACAGCGGGAGCCGGGAGCGCATATAGAGAGACAGCGGGAGGCCATATGAGGGTCGATCTCGAGGGAAGGGCGCCAACACGACCCCACCGAGGGGGTTCTCCGGTGTACGCAGGACGGGAAACCGGTTATAAAAACTAAAGTTACAGAAAACGGACACACCTCACAGAGAGGAGGTGGGGGTAGCCGAAAAAAAGGAAGCGGGTCCCCTGTGCGGACTGCGGTGGCTTCTGCAGCTCTTGGCGCGCAAGACGGCGTTCTTCGTTTGGCGGCTTTGGCGGGAAAGACGAGCGGAGAAAAGTGCGCCCTCCCGCCTACTCCCGTGCTCCCAAGAACAGCACCCCACCGTCCCGTTTGTTCGTCGGCGGCCGCGCCGCCTACCCGCTGCCCGTCTGCACGTCGAGCAGACTGTCCACCTCCTCGGGCGTGTGCAGCAGTATGGCGCTGCCGCCGTCGGCGTAGCCGCTCTCCGGCCGCGAGATGAGCTGGTGCATGCGCCTGTGCGTCGCCGCCAGCATCTGCGCGGCGCGGCGCGACGCGGCGGCGCGGAGGCGCGGCGTGGCGAGCCGGTGAGCGTGCGGCAGCAGCTCGCCGCCGCCGCGCGTGAAGAGGAGTGAGTAGAAGGAGCGCATCGCCTGCTCATGGGACGATGTGTGTGAAGAGACGATTGAGGGTGGCGAGCCGAAGGAGCGGGTCGCCGACGAGAGCGCGAGCGACTCAAGCCCGACCATCGAGCAGAGCTGCAGCTGCGGCTGCGCGGCGGCGGTGCGCAGCGCGTCCAGCTTGGGCGCGAGGCCGCACTCCTCGAAGAAAGTGTCTGCCGTCGCGCGCACGAGAGCAGCCAGCAGCTGCTCCGTGTGCGCGTCCAGCTCGGCGCATGCCGACGCGGCGACAGCGTGCGCGCTGAGCACGCCGCGCGTCGCCTGGAGAGGAGCGTGCGATGGACATGTCGTGGACGCGTCCCTCTCGAGTGCGCCGCTCAGCACGCCCCGCGTCACCTCGGCGCAGTTGAGCAGAAACATGGCGCGCTCCTCCGGCCGGAGCGGCCCGCCGCCGCCGCCGCCGCCGGTTGCCTCGCCCCGCAAGACGTGGCTCAGCGTCGCAGCGAGGCCACCGCTACCTCCTCCTCCCCCGCCGCCTCCCCCGCCGCCTGCGCCTCCTCCTCCGCCGCCGCCGCCGCCCCCCGCGCCGCTCGCCGCGAGTTCGCCGAGCAGCCGCAGCGGCGGCTCGATGAAGGCGTGCAGCGTCGCCGCCACCACGCCCTCCCACCCCGCAACGTCCCCACTGGCGCCGGCGCCACCCAGTAGCGGCGTCACCTCGGGAGAGTGCGAGGGCGGGGTGGGGGCGGCGGCGGCCGGCGACGCGGCGACGGCCTCGAGCAGCTCATCGAGGAGAGCGCCTATCTCGGCGCAATCTCGGCTGATCTCGGGCGTCGAGGAGGGGCGCCGAGGGCAAGGAGCCGGCCGAGAAGGTGGTGAGCAGGCGGCTGGGAGGTGGCTGGGAGGTGGCTGGGAGGCGGCTGGGAGGTGCCTGGGAGGCGGCTGGGAGGTGGCTGGGAGGCGGCTGGGTGGTGGTGTGTCCTCTATCTAGAGCGGCACCCAAGCGCAGCAGCGGCCTCGGTGCAGACAAGTCGGCGGGCACGCGGCGAACGCCCGCCAGCGCGCCGCTCACCTCCGCCGCCAGCGCCGCCTCATACCTCCGTGCCGTCAGCATGGCGCAGCGCGACAGCGCCTCACCCAGCCCGATCGGAGGCGGCGCAGCCCCGTCGCCCTCTTCGCCGCCTCCGCCTCCGCCTCCGCCTCCGCCTCCGCCGCCCTCTGCACTCTCTGCGGCGGCGGCGGCGGCGGCGGCGGCGGCGGCGGCGGCGGCGGCGGCGGCGGGCGGCGCCGGCGGTGGCGGCGGCGGCGAGGGTCCGGCAGCGGCGCGGAGGGCGGGGACAGAGAGGTGGAGGTGGACGGCGAGGCGGAGCAGGGAGGGCAGCGGCGTCGCGCCGCTCTCCGCGGTGAGCGCGTCGACGTGCGCGGTGAGCAGCGGCGCGAGGCGCTCGAAGGCGGAGGCGACCGCCTGGTCGGCACGGGGGGGGGGCGTCTAGGTCGTGCCTGGGAAACGTCTGCGGAGGGGTCGTGGTAGCGGGCAGAGGAAGGGTCGCAGCGGAGAGGCTCCTGGGGTCGCGGGCAGGGGGCACGGAGCAGGCTCCTGGTCCAGCGCGGCGGCATCGATCGGAGAAGCATCGCCCCCTCCGCCCTCCTCGCCCCCCCCTCCCTCGAAGATCGACGCCACCAGCCGCCTCTCTTCCTCCATCGCCGCAGCCAAATCGGACAGCACGCTGCCGAGCGCAGCCGCCGCCGCCGCGCCGCCGCCGCCGCCGCGCGTCGCCGCCGCCGGAGCGACGAGGGAGCGCGAGAAGGCCGACACGTGCGCGTCGGCGCGCGCGGCCGCCGCTTCGACGACACACGCACGCAGCAGCGCCGGCTTGCGCCTGCGGCGGGGGCGAGGCGGCGCGCCGTCGCGGCCAGGGACCACCGCCAGGGACACAGCGCGGCGGCGGTGGAGCTCTCGAGGACCGGCAGCAGCAGCGCGTGGCGGTGGCGGAGGGGCGCGTGCAGCGGGGGGGGGAGGGCGACGCGGCGGGAGGGGAGGCGCGGCCCTGCCTCTCTCTGTGTCTCTCTCGGGTCTCTCTCGGGTCTCTCGGGTCTCTCTCGGGTCTCTCTCGGGTCTCGCACCGCAGCCGATCGACGCCCCGCCGCAGCCGCGCGATGGCGGGCGCGGCAGCCTGCCTCTGCGCGGCGTGCGGCGGCAAGCGAGGGACCTGGCAGGGTCGCAGCGAGCGGTGGACGTGAGCCACCGAGCTGCGGCTGCCGCACTGCCGCTGGTCGCGAGGTGAGGCGGCGTTTGCAGCGGCGGGTGGAGTGCGGTGGAGTGCAGCGGTGTAGCGCAGCGGTGTAGCGCAGCGGTGTAGCGCAGCCCGCTGGGAGGAGGAGGTGAGGCAGCGGAGGAGGCGAGAGGTGTCGGGGCGTTGCGCGCCGCACACCTCTGCGGCGAGCCAGCGGAAGAGGGAGGCGTAGCCCCGCTCCTCGTAGGCGTCCATCCGCGCGCTCGCCTGGCGCCCGAGCTGTGCGAGTGCCCCTCCCTCGAGGTGCCTCGCCCGCTCGCCGACAGAAGCTACGCGGTCGAGCGCGCCCAGCAGCGCGTCGAGGGAGAGGGGCGCGTCCTGCGGCGCGTTGAGCGTCGCCTCGTCCTCCGCCGACAGCTGCAGCGCCTCGGCGAGCGCGCCCGCCAGCCGCTCCTGCTTCTTGGCCTGCGACACCTGCTCCTGCAGCTGCGACGTCTGCGAGAGGAGCACTTCGGTCGCGGCGCGCGTCGTCTGCAGCCGTGCGACGGCGGTGCCGCTCGCCTCGCACAGCGCGTCCAGCTCGCGCTCCGCGCCCTCCAGCTCCGCACGCAGCTCACCACTCGCACCTAGCAGCCGCCGGTCGAGCGCGAGGGCGCGGCCCTCCACCACTGGCCGCAGGCCGCGCCGAGCGCCGGCGGCGAGGGATGAATCGATGGCGGCGAGCGCGCCGAGCGCCTCGAGCACCACAGGAGAGATTGGTGATGCTGCTGTCGCTGCGCGCAGTTTGCGCGTGGTGGCGCTGTTGGCCGACATGTCGTGGCACGGCGCGAGCGAGAGCTCGCTCTCCTCGACCTCGGGCTCGACGAAGTGTCGCGGGTTCCTCGGCGGGCGGAGGCTCTGCTGCTGTGTTAAAGAGAACGGCGGAGAGCCGCCCAGCGGCGCCGGCACGAAAAACGGGAAGAAGATTTCTTTTTATTCGACGTAGAATTCTTTATATTCCCCCCGGAAGTGCGGTAAATGACTGCACTCCAAGTGCTCCAAGTTCCGGAAGGTAGTGCTTGTCGTTCGTCACATGGGCTGCCATCGGCATACACAAGGCGCAAGCATCCTCACCGAGCGGCGGGAGGTGTACGCGACCCAAGAGAATTTCAGAAGCATTTCACCCGTAAGAAATCGGGCCGTGTCGTTCCCTCCGCCGGAGAGAAGTCCCTCAGTTATAGTAAATAAATAAATAAAAACGGACACCTCTCTACTGTGAGATGGGTAAAAAGGAACAGGCCCCCGCCCTTGCGATCTTTGTGCAGGGTTCTTTGTGGGTGTGGTCGGCGACTAGCCGGGGTCGTCCTCCCGATGGGGGACTAGCACTAGCCGTCTTCCACATGGTCCCTCGGGTCCCTGCTGCTCCTAATCTCTTCGTACATCCTCCTGCTGATCTCCGCAAAGTCCTGCTCCCTCCCTCGTCTCACCCTGCGCGTCTGCTCCGCCTCACCGTCTTCTGCCCTGCGTCGTCTGGCGACGGGTCCTCCATAGTCGGTCAGTTATAGTAAGCCCATGAGAGTGCTCATAATTTAGATTTCTTTTCCGAGCCCAAACGAAGACGTTTTAAAAAAGGCCCTGCCGGTCTCCCGCTCGCCACACATGCTCACAGAGAAGGAGGAATGCGACATGTGTGACTAGAGGCCGCTGAGCGAGCAAACACGGATACCTCAAAAAGTCCCTCAGTCCCCATCTCTCCTCCCACCGAGCTCCTCTATTCACACTCGAGGGGGCCTTATTGGGGGGGGGGGGGGCAGGAGTCATCAAGGACAAAACAAAATGTTTGGTATTGGTAAAAATCTCTCTCTCCAGGACATGCTAGGAGTCATCGTCTATCTAGGAGTCCATCATCGAAGTGCTACAGCCTCATTGCAGCATCGCTTTCCTGAAGACTATCGTCGTAATCATAATGGCAAATGGCGCCCAGAACGGCTGGAGGAGGAAGAACGGGAAGGAGAACATGCCTTGAGAAGACGCCACTTCATCTGGCTGTCCTGCGGCTCGGATCGACAGCAAGTTGGGCTCGTCCATGTGGCCCATTATCAGCACGAGCACAATGTTGATGGTCACGAGGGTCATCGCGTGGTACCCGAGCACGAGCCAGACGGGCATCGCGTTGGGCAGCGCATAATCCGCCAACGCCAGCACAAGACCGAGCAGAGAAAACGCGCCGTCGATATTCACCCCTCTGTGGAAAGTTCTGCCGAAGAGCTTGTAGGGGGCCCGCGCTCTCTCAAACGGGGCCATCATGTAGGGTGGGGTGACACCGTTCCGATGACCGATCATGAGTGGGATTTCCAACGCAAAACGCGAGGCTGAGGCAGCGTGAAGTTGCCACCAGGGGATGCTCAACAAGTCAACCGCGATAGGAGAAAACAGGAATGCGTACACCATGATCGCCAGGCAAGGCAGGATCCCGAGCAAGGGCGAGGGAATCCCACCGGCGTTCAGGATATTATTGAAGCTGACAAAGTGCAGCCAGATGGCAGCCCAGCCCCAAGAGAGCGGGCCCATTATCGCAAAAAATTGCATCCCGCTGAGGCCAAGAACCACGTCGTGCGCGGTGTATGCCGACGCCCAGTGGATTTCCACTGCCCACCAGACAAGCAGATTCACGAGGATCAAAAACGCCCTACCCGGGATGGCCTCCTTGGACGGAGCCTTCCCCTCAATCAACATGCCAAAAAAGCGCAGGCTCGAACGCCGACGCCGGTGGATGGCATGTACACCCAAATTCACGACCGCCTCTGTCGTTGTTCTTCCATCCGACCTTTTCATGCACGTCTCTCTAAGGGTCTTGATGTGGGTTGTACTTTTAGCTTAATGGGAGAAAGGGGAGAGGAGGTGTTTGTTCTCTAGGCCCCTAAATAACGGCCCATGCGCGTGAGAGCTCGCTTGTCAACAAACAAAGGGTCGCCCGCCCAAGAAAGTGTTGTTGCGGAGGCTGTTTTTACTACCCCCATCCTGGGTGTAGTGTGTCTCTCTCTCTGGGTGTATCTCGTCCTCTAGGAAGGTCAGCCCGACAAGCGCGCTACGGTTTCATGCGCGCGCAGCTGAGATTGCAAATCTCTTTACTCGTGCCGGCGCGGCGCCCGTCGGCGAAGCCCCAAATTTACGGGGCGCGCGCCAAAAGAGCAGTCCCTCAGCCGACTTCCCCGCCCACACACATGGTTGTCCTCGGAGTCGGCGAGGCTGCTGCCGAGACCACGGCGGGCACGGTCAAGTTGCTCGAAGGCCCCGGCGATTTCAAAACGACGGGTAAGGTGGAGACTCTCGTGTTGACCAAGGTTACTGCTTTCCAGTATATGGTGTCGACAGCGCCGGGCGGCGAAATCACCCACACAGCTGGCCCCACGTCCATGTGCGCTCGCTCGCGGGCGCTGAATGCGGGTGGGCACTTGTGAACACGCCCCACCCCGCCGCCGCAGGTTCACGACTCCTGCGGGCACCTGCCCTAAATCTGGCTCAACCATCGAGGTCAAGGACATGTTTTTCGCAAAGTCTCCGACGGACTACTTTGGCAGTTACGAGTTGGGCTCTGACGGCAGTTACACGGCCACGGCGGTGAATGGCCCAAGAATGTACATGCCGGCCCCAACCGCCTACGTGGCCAAGTACGAAATGTCAAGCTCGACGGGGGAAGAGGAAAATATGACGTTCACCTACTTCTCGTCGGCGCCGCAGATGATGACGTTGGCTATTCCCGGCGTCGTTGGTCCGGATGGCACTGCCGGAAGCCTGAAGCTGTTGCTGAGTATTCAGGCACGCGACCGCGAGCTTCAATCCTGCCCCGCTCACCCCTCGCCCCACCTACCTACCCGCTTGTGTGCTCACCCTCGCTCCGCTGTGCCGTTTTCAGATCGACCCCGATAAATTTGTCCAATGCAACTCGACTGACGCCATTGGCGACCTCAAAAATGCCGCGAAGACCGACTACTCCACCGGTGCTTCTGGATACCCCACCTTGAAGGCGACGGGCACGGCCATCGGTTTCACTGTTGGGAGGGCCATCGAACTTGGGCTCGACCCGGTGGAGGAAGGCGACACGCCGCTTGGGAAGCTCGAGAAGTTGGCGCTCGAGGACAAGCTGAAGCTGGAGATGGCGGTCCAGGGCGCAATCGCCAAGCAAGAGATCATCCTCGCCGGGGCATACGCTCGGAGTCAGAACGCCGTGGTGACGGTGTCGCAGGTGGTCAATGCAAACGTCAAGGCGATGTCGCAGTTGGCGGTGATGGCCAAGGGCTCAGGCGGTTCGGACAAGAACTACTCAAAGGTCGCAGCCTGCTGCTGCTGCTCCGTTGCCACCAAGACGTCTGGTGGGGCTTGGGCCTCGCTCGAGGCATCGGGCAGCAGCAGCCTTGACATCAACATGCTCATCAACTCTGCCACCACAGCCACGTCGACAACCAAGATCGACGAGAAATTCAGTTATCAAGGCCCTTATGAACATTGGGAAGAATTCAAATACGAGCCCTTTAGGCCTTTGTGATCACAACTGTGGCTTTGGAGATGCCGCACACCCAATCCAGCCGTTCTTAGTGTAGGGGTTTGTGCGGATGGCAAGAGGGGTATCCACTCTAAGCTTTTTATTTTGGAGGTGAGGCGCTTTTTGAAGAGTGCTTTGATCGCTGTTTTGGCGCGCCTCATACACGTGCACCTTACCTATTCTCCCAGTAAGAGCTAAAAGTACAGTACACGTAACGCGCGACTCACGACGTCTCTTCTTACCACCACCGCGTGCGGCACACATACATCCACATCATGCCACGAGTCGAGACTCTGGGACGTGGCTCGTGGAGGACTCGAGACGGAGAGAGGGCGCCGCGGTGTCGGTCGTCTGACTCGCACAGGGAAGAGAAAGTGCGAGCGGGTGGTATGAAGTGTGCAGGCCATGACTGACACACATTCCCTCAAACAATGTCAGAGCGGGATCTCAGTTCTCAGAAGACAGAACACATGAGCTCAGCAGTGTCCAGACTCCAGTGAGCAGAGAGAGCGAGACGGAGAGCGGTGCCGAGCACCTGTCCACTTGAGCAGGCCCAGCAACGTCGGACCATGATCCATCTGATTGATTTATTGCGTATTTAAACTAAGCACTGTTGGTGTCTATCCCTGTGGGGCGACAGAGGTCAACCATTAAAGCGTAGAACGAACCGCGCTCTCAACACAGGGCGATTCGGCAAACGCGTTGTTCAGCAGCGGACAGCCACAGCGCCCAGGCGCCCAGGTGAGAGGTGCAGACAGAGAGGGCCCGCTGAGCAGGAGGGAACGATGGCGATCAGGAGAGCACCTCCTAGCACACTGCACCTCCCTCCCGCCCCCGACGCACCTGAAGCTCCAGCCAAAGGCGGTGCGAGATCCGCTGAGGAGGACCAGCTCAAGAGAGGAAGCCGAGGTCGGAGCCGACGGCCTTGGCCTTCTTGATGAGCGCCTGCTGCATCTTGCTGTCGACGCCGTCTGCAGGGACGAGTGGAGGCGGCCGAGTGGAGGCGGCCGAGCGGAGTGGTGGGGGATCTCAGGTGGATCTCCGGGCGGCGCACAGTCGGCGCAAAACTTTTTGATCTCCTGCGAGTGGATGCTGATGGCCTTACCACGGAGTTTGAGTAGCTGAGGCTCGCCAAGCACCACCTGAGGACCGTGATGGCTAGACGGTGAGAGCGGTTGCGGGCCGGCAGCGATCGCCTGCAAGATGGAGAGCCTTCGCGAGGAGCACTGCCGGCGTGAACGGGCCATCCTTGGCAGGACCCATGGATGGCGAGTAGGTCGCAGCGACTTGTGTGGCCGGAGAGATGCCGAAGCGAGCCAGGTGCGGCGACCACGCAGATACCCGCAAAGCCAGCATCGAGAGAAGCGCGCACAGGAACCGCATCGAGCTTGAGCGTAGGTGCCGCGAAGGTGTGCCTCGAATTTAGGCAGGCGGATTTATTTTTTCAGTGTACGTAGCTCTTACGAACATACCCGTTTTTGAGCGTTGAGCAGCTGTCAGAGGAGACCTCGACAAACCGGACGGACTCAGTCGATTGTACTGCGGTGGTGTGAATGAATGCACCATGACGCATGAATGAGCAAAACCCTGACGAGGCCTGTACGTGTAGGATTCCTAGATTTTTCCACTCCGGGCCTTTTTCCCGTGCCGCATCTCCCTCGGAACAGTTTTTCTTCTTAATATTGGACTACCGTCACGAATGATCCGTCCTGACCCGATGCATTTTGGATTTCCAAAATCAGCCCCTCTGGGGTAGCAGAGCAGTTTGGCCCCCTAGAACGCTTGTTTTTTTTACGCAAAACACGAGAAGGCGATGGCCGCGGCGCGACAGCTTAGCTCACCTCGCACCGGACCATCTTGTCGTCGCCGCCGCCGCAGAGGCTGGCCTCGCCCTTGCCGTAGATGAGCGCCTCGTAGTCCACGCCGTCCTGCCTTGCCACGCCCTCGAGGTGGAGCTTGAACCAGGCCTGTTCCACAGCCAGCCGCGTGAATAGAACTCTCCCCACTCCTCGCTGTCCGTCCAAACTCGAGCCACGCGCGCCGCGGTGAAGCGCGACAAGTCCATGTGCCCGCCCTCCCAGAGGAGCGGCTCAAAGTGCGTTGCACCCTGCTTGTTGACAAAGCCGCGGTGTGCCGCGGTGCCCTGCCGGCCTGCGGCGTCGTAAAACGCCTCGCTCATGCGCGGCGGCGCCACATAGTCGGCGCTGCCGGTGAAAGCGAGAAAGGGCACCTAGCCCACAGCTGGAGGGGTGAGCAGCGCCGTGTCGCAGATGCCGCAAGAAGAGGAGCGGCGAGGCGCGCCGCCGGCGCGGGCAGCTGGGTCGCCGAGTAGGGGTGCTGCATCACCGCCGCCTGCTCACAGCCAGGCCCGTGAAGAGGCGCCGTTCACAAGACGATCGCGTGCCGCATCGCCGACGCCCGGATGCGGCTCGCCGAGGCGTTGCCGTACGAGGAGGCGAAGAGGGTCGCCTGCTCGGTGCAAGCACGTGGCGTCTCGCGCCCCATCTCGCGCCCCAGGAGCGAGACACGGAGGCTGAGAGAGGGGGGCGCCGCGACGGCGGCCGAGGCGTTTGCGGCGGCGGGTGGAGGTGGAACGGGTGGAGGGCGAGGGCGAGGGGAGGCGAGGGCGGAGGCACGGTGGCAGGTCTGGGCGAGATCAAGACCTGCCCTCCCATCGAGTGGCCCGCCACCCCGTATCCCAACGAGTGGTTGACGGCAGAGAGGGCGCGGTGGGCGGGCCCGCGCGAGCGGCTCTCATTCTGTGCCCACTCGAGCACGCCAATCTGCTGCCGGTAGTAGTCGCCGAAGCAGGGCGGATCACCTTGCGGGCAGAGGCGACCGATCTGGCTCGGGTGGGTGACCTAGAGCCGTAGTGGACTCCCGGCAGGGCCACAGGGAGGCACTCGCCTCGAACCGACTTGCAGTTGCGCTGCTCTTTGCACCCGACGTTGCACGCCCGGGTGGCGGCCACAACGAAGCCGTAGCTCGCGACTGCGCTGAGCGGTATCAGGTACCCTGACCAGTCCACGCCGCCGCCTCCGAAGAGGCCGTGCGCATACGAGATGAGCGGCACGCTCCGGCCGGCAGGGACTGCCGGCGTGTACACATCCACCGTCCGGTCCGAGCAGTCCTGGCTGGCTACGGTGTAGCTCGTGTGAGTGACCTCAAAGGGGCCTGAGTCTGCGCGAGGCAGAGCGGCAGCGATGGTGGCTGCGGAGCCGGAGGCAGTGGCTCGCGGAGCCAGCTTTGCAGCCTCCATGGAGAAGCCAACGTCGGAGAGTGCGAGCTCGCTCGTTGCTGCGGCGACTTGCTTTGACAGCATCGCCAAACTACGTCGGAATGCTGTGAGAAGCTGTAAATCTATGACCTATGACCGCGAACTTTGCGACCTACTACGAGTCGTATGGCGGGGGGAACAGCCATGTTTGGCAAAAGAATTTGGTGAGGCCTCGGCTGGCGAATAAAAGAGCGAATCAGGGAGAACCGGAGCCCCGGGAAGGCGGGCAGTGGAACCCTGGGACGGGATGCTGAGGGAGGACCTGTGTACGTGCATGGTGTACAGTGTCGTGTCTACTAGCTCCGAGTAGAGGGGGCGTCCTGCAGTTAAGGGGAAACCCGGTACACGGAACCAACCCTCGGAGACCCGTGTTTACTTTACGGCCCTTTCCCTGCGAACGCGCACCCCCAGGGCTAGGGCTCTCTAGCCCGTAACCCGATACCGATCATCCGGCCCGCTGGGTGCGCTCCTCAGCTCCCCGGCCCTGGATGAGGTTACTGACTGCACTCCAAGTGCTCCAAATGACTAATACATCAAAAGAATTGAAGACGGCATCGTCCGCCCCGCCCGTGCACTTGGTGCGATTAATTATTTTTCTTTGCCCCGTCGTCCTCTGTCTGCCTCATCGCTCTCCTCTGCCTCGTTCTGCGACGACGCCGACGCCTGCCGAGCCCTTACTCTCGCGGCTTCTCTCACCTTTCGGCGTAACTCCGCTCTCCTTGCAGCGTGTCCTCCAGTTTGCAAAACAAAGACAAAAATCTCTCTCCCAGTTTGTCGAGCCCTCTCTCCCTGCAGTCTCCTTCCTTCCTCTCTCCAAGTACCAAGAACCATCCTTCTGACTCCCACTCCGATCATGTGCCGCCATGCCAATACACACTATCAAACTATTAGCCTAATAACGTACCTAATTATCAACACATACCTAATAATTAGCTTGTTATTGGACTTTTGCGTTATTAGCTTAATAATTAGCTTATTTACACAATCAGTTTCGTGAAAAAAGCTAATTATTAGCTTAATAGCCTGCTATTAGGTATGTGTTGATAATTAGGTACGTTATTAGGCTAATAGTTTGATAGTGCATGTCGTTGCTCAGGTCCGCTCTCGTTTCTTGTACCATCACTTGTCGGTATCGGTCGGGAGTCGCTCACCAACACGCACTGTGCGATTTCGGGCTTGTGCTTTCGTGTGAACGCCGGCCACGGAAAAATTCTTTTCGTGCAGATCCTGCGTCTCTCACTGCCCGAACAACAGAGGCGCACCCGCAGCAGGTAGGTAGGTAGGTAGAAAGGTGAAGAACAGCCAGGCTCGGACTGGACACCCCAACGCGGTATGGGTGGACGCTAGACAGATGATGACGACACGCACGAGCGACACACAGACACAAACAAGCTCACAAGAGTCAAGACACACAGCCAGCGGGCTGCCACACACCCTGAGTTGGCGTACACATAACTCAAGGCCACATCCTCCCTGTCGCCCCCCCCACTCCAAGGTGCCAAGAGGACACAGACGACAGGAAGTAACGTGCTAGGCTAGAGCAGACCGCTCCGCCTCTAGCAATCTCGCCGGCCGGCGAGGCCCGGACGAGACCGTGTGTGGGTCTAGTGAGGTGTCTATGGACGCCCTCTCACAGGCTGCGGCCTACTACTAGCCCTAACTCGCACTCATGGGAGATGTCAGTTCATTGTATGAGTGTATGCAAGCAGAGGCGCGTGTGCTGATTCTAGATCGCACGCCGTGGCATATGACATGGGAGGCGTGCGACCGCAGCGCACCCGTCGTAAGGTCGACGGGCGCGCGTGTCAGCGAGAGAGTTGCGGGCGGAGCCATACCCGACTTTGAGAGGACGAGCCCCGCGCCACGGTTGCCAGCCGTGCCTTCGCGGGAGCCGCCCCTCGAGCCGCGTCTCGTCGCCACTGTCCCCGAGTGCGTCCCGCCTTGGCGGCACACACTCGACGAGGACAGTCCGGCCGACGAGATCGTGTCGCGCGCCGGCGACGGTTGCGGCGTCGTGGTTTCGAGTACGAAGCGAAGATGGCACGACCACCGCCCTGCTTCGCAGACCGGGCAAGGAAGGGCCTGCTCCCGTTCCGCGAGGAACAGGAGGTCTCCCCCCCTCCCCCGGCCTGAGCAGCGGCGCGTGGAAGGCAGCCCCTTGAGTCGAGGGCGGCGCGACCATTGCTGCTCTCCAATGACCAGAGGCCCGGTAACTGCAGACGGTCGCGCCACCCCGCTCCGCGTCGCCCGCCGCCGCGCCGCGCCGCCGCCCAATGATTATTAATTAATAATTAATTAATAACTAACTAATTACCCCACCCGCCGCCGCGCCTCCCCGCCCTGCGTCGGCCGCTGCCTCGCCGCGCCGCCGCCTCGCGCCGCCCGCCGCCGCGCCGCGCCGCCGCCCAATTATTAATAATTAATAATTAATACTCGATCATTAATAATGTGTGTGTTTGTGTGTGTGTCTGTGTGTTTGTTTGAGCGATGCCAGGGAAGGACAGGGCAGCGGCGAGCGGCAGGTGGCGTCGGCGACGTACTCAGTACACGATGGCGAAGCCCACAGCGCAGGGGCCCGGCAGCAGCGCCGACAGCGGCCCCGCGCCGCGTCGGCTTCGGTCTGAGCGAGGCAGCCTGTACTCCTCAACCTCCTTGGCACTCCCCCGACGAGCGGCGTGCTATGCGGGCCCGCCGCGGGCGACGCGGGCCGCGAGCCGACGTGCGTGCCGCAGTCATAGGCAGCGCTGGCGAAGCGAGGAGGTCGGCGCAGGCCCCCGGATGCGGTCGCAGCGAGAGAAGCGAGAGAGCAGATGCTGTTGGAAGGGTGGGGAGCAGCCTGCCGTCGAGCGGCGCGCTGCGCAAGCCCGCTGTCGGCGGCCCGATCGGAGAGCGGGTAGTCGTGGTACTATTGAGCGCGCCATCGCGCCCGAGACGGCCCGCCCCAGCCCTGTAGACCCTTCCAGAGACTTGGCGATGCTGTACAGCATGCCAAGAGCATACCGGACAGGCTCCCGTCGAGCGACGAGCCATGCTGGCTCGCCTCCGGCGGCGAGCTCGAAGACCCGCACCGAGCTTCGCTGTGAGCCTGGCAGGCCCGCCCGCACGCCCGCGGCCGCAAGCAAGGAAGGCGAGCTTCCTGGCGTCCTTGCCAAGCGCCAACATGCCAAAAGACACCTCGCAGCGCCCGAGACGTGACCAAAGCCGCACGTCTCGGCGCCGTGAGAGCAGCCGGTCGACGTCGGCACCAAGCGAGGGGCCGCCGGGCGCCGCCGAACCGACAGGGGCGCCGTGGCAGTAGAGAGCACTCACCGAATACCGTTTTTATGGCGGGGTGACGAGCGGGTGCCAAAGAAAAAAAATCGCACAGTCGAAAACGGTCGTTGAAAAAGGCGGGGCGCCCCTGCTGGACGCTGCTATGGACGCCGCCCTCGAAGGCCACGAGCGGGTGGCACCAGCAGCCCTCGCCGATGTCGTCGCCGCGCTGAAAAACACCCTCCGCTCGTCGGATGTCAGCGCCTCCGCACGCGACGCGGCGCTCGTCGAGTTTGCGCAGCGCCTTGTGGACAAGTACCTCCTTGGCGCGGCGACGACATCTTCCGACGATGTCTTTCGCGCCATCAAGATCCTCTCGAGCTTCGCCACGCAGTACCCGCAGGCGTTCGGGTACGGCGAGCCGGCGCGCGCCGGCCACGCTGTCCTTGGACTGCTCGAGCAGCTCCCTCGCGTCGCCACGCCCAAGCAGGGAGAGCTGGTCCAGCACGCTCTCCGCACGCTGCTGCTGCTGCTCCGTGCGGCGGACGCGCGCGCGTTCGCGACGCTCGGAGGCGAGGTGGTGCAGCTTCTGGCGGCGCCGGCCGGCGCCGACGAACCCGCCCCGGCCCTCCGTTTCCCCGGCTTCTCGGACGCGTGCGGGCTCTCGGCGCCTGCGGGTGGGCGCGAGGCAGCCAGCGGCGGCGGCGCGGTGCGGCGAGGGCTGCTGCAGCTGGCGGCGGCGATGCACGCGGACGCGCCGCAGTTCCTCGGCGACGGGGGTCCCGCCCTCTGGGCCGCCCTCCACGCCGAGCTCGAGGCCGCCTCCTCCGCGCCAGACGCGGCGGCGGCGCGGGCGGTAGGCGTTGAGGAGGCGGTTGCGGCTCTGCGCACGCTGCTGCGTCAGCACCCTGCTCCGCCGCCGGTGCGGTACAGGCTGCTGCACACGCTCCTCCCGCTACTCTGCCTGGGGCTCACGCCCGCGTCACAGGACGGCGCGGCGTCGGCGGACGCGGCGAGAGGCGAGGCTGGCGGCGGCGGCGGCGGTGATGGCGGCGGCGGCGATGCATTGTGGAGGGGTGCGATGGGCGAGGCGATCGGGGAGTGCCTGTCGCTCATCGGCGTGGACGGGCTGCCGCCTCTCCCCTCGCTGGGCGAGCTGCTTACGGTGACACCGTTCGCACTCTCGGCGCTCGACGCGCCGACTTCGGCCCCGCCCTCGGCGCCACCCCGCTCGCCGCCCCGCCCGGCGCCCTGCGCGCTGGCCTCGGCGCTGTGCCGGCTCTGGCGTGCGCTGCCGCGGGCTGTGCTGACGAGGCACGTCCTCTCGCTCGAGCCCTTCCTCGGCGCGGCCTCGGCGCAGCGCCTCGTCCTGCCTTGCCTCGAAGCCGCCCTACTCCCGCCCCCCGCCTACGACCCTGCTGCCGCCGCCGCCCTCCCTGCTTTCACCACAGCCGCGCCCCTCCCCGCGGCCGTCGTCCCCGCCGCCGCCCCCGACGTCCTCATGCTGCCCGTCGCCGCCGAGGCCTCCGGCGCCGCGGCCACGGAGGGCGGCGAGCCCACGCAGAGAGATGGCGGGCTGGCGAGAGGTGGCTTGGCGAGGGAGTCAAGAGAGGGCCGGAGGGGCAGGGCGGCAGGGAGGGCGGGCGGGCTGAGGCGGAGCCGCGAGGCGGAGAGCGGGGAGGCGCGGCCCTCGCCGAGCCCGCGCCCCGGCTCCGCTGCGGCGCTCGCCTCGCCGCGAGGACACGGCGGCGCGAAGCGGCAGCGGAGGGCAGAGCACCCCTGGCCAGAGGAGGACGCCTCCGCCCTCCCAAGCGGGGGGCAGCCGACCTCGCACGACGGCGCCTCGGTCGTCCGCCGTCGGCTGGTCGAGATCTCGGACGCAGTCTGGCTGCCCGACGCCGCGCGAGCCATCCCCGCCCCCGCCCGGCCTGGCGCCGACGCCGACGCCGACGCCGACGCTGCCGATGCCGTCGGCGGCGGCTCGGCCGGAAGGGAGGGCGGCGCGGTGGCTGCTTTCCGGCGGCTGAGCGGCGTCGCGCTCGTGCTGCTGCGCGCCTCCAGCTCGGCCGAGGCGGAGGCCGCCCGCAGCGCCGTTCTCCGCCGCGTCGGGGAGGCGTCCGGGCTGGTCGGTGGCGGGCGAGGCAAGCGCAAGTGTGCAGAGAGCGCGGCACGACTGCTCTAGGCGCTCGACTGGGTGGTGGGGCTGGTGCGCTCGCGCGGCGCGGCGCTGCAGGCGGCGCAGGCGGCGGTGCGGCGGGAGCGGGAGGGAATTGGGCGCGAGGGGGCTGTGCAGGAGTGGGAGGACCGCGTGCGGGGTTGCGCGGCACCCGGCCAAGAGGGGGCGGAGGCTGCGGCGGCGGCGGCGGCGGCGGCGGCTCGCGGCTGGGAGGAGCCGACGGCGCTCCTTCGCGTCGCCATCGACCTGGTCCGCGAGATTTGCGCGCCGGTGCCGCCGCCGCGCTCGCGGGTGCGTGCCGCGCCGGCCGCCACGCACGCGCAGGCATCGATGAGCTGAGCGTGAGGATTCCTTTGGTTGCGCTAGGCTGCGGCTGAGCTGCTCGCGGTGCAGGCGGTGCGGTTGGCGACGCTGCCGTGGGAGGTGGCGCGAGAGGAGGCGTCGCGAGGCGGGGCTTCGCCCGCCGTGCGCGGCGTCGGCGGCGGCGGAGGAGGAGGAGGCGGCGGCGGCGACGGCGCCACGTGCGAGCGGGAGCGGCGTGCTAGGCGGTGGAGCGCAAAGTTCGAGCCGCGGCTGCGCTGCGAGGCGCTGGCAGTGCTGATGCGCTTCGGAGGCGCGCTGCCCCCAACCGGCGGCGGCGCCTGCCCCGCCGCCCTTGGCGAGGCCTTCGATCTGCGGCCGGCATGCGTGCGAGCGGTCATCGGCGGCGCTGCGGCGCAGTTCCAGGGCGCCGCGGCGAGGGGTGGCGAGGAGGAGGAAGGTTGGTCCGAGGCGGCGGGCGAGGCGGACGTGGTTTGCGCGGCGCTGCGGGCGCTACCGCTCCTCGAGCAGACGGCCGCAGCCGACGGAGGCGGCGGCGAGGAGGCGGCACGCGGTCGGCGCGAGGGCTGGACGAGAGGCGGGGTCCGTCTCTTGAGCCCGTGACTGAGCCTTCCCATAGGCGGCTCGCGGCTGCTGCGAGGCGGCCCTCGGCCTTCTCTCGGCCCTCTGCGCGCCGGCCGCCGCCGGGCGTGCCGACGGCGCCGGAGAGAGAGGCCTCGAGGCGGAGAGGTCCCGCGTGGCGGCGGCCCTCTGCAAGAGCCTAGGCTTGCGCTCGCGCTGTGCCTCGCCGGTCGACGCCACGGGGACCGCGGTGAGGCGCGCCCGTACGATTGCTGTAGGTCTGCTCGCCTGCGTCCGGGCGGGGTGCTTCGCCGCTGGGCCGCGAGGCGGCCTCAGCTGCGAGGTGTGCGACGGAGGCGGCGAGGGCGGCGGGTCGGTGGACGAGCTTCCTTCGGAGCTCGCCCTCGTCCCGTTGGGTCGGGACCCTCCCGCGGGCTGGGGCGGGCCACCGCGCCGCCGGCACGGGCCGCGGTGGAGGGAGGGAGAGGAGGGGCTCTACTCGGCGCTGCCGCTGCTCTGGGCGCTCCTCTCCAGCTTGCCGGCCGGGCACGGCGGCACGCGCGCGGCGGTCGTGCGCTGCCTCGGCCGGCTCGGGCAGCACGCGCACGCGACCACCCTGGCAGCGCAGCGCGGCGTGATGCAGTCGATCATCGCGCTGCTCGCCGATCCGTCCGCCGAAGTGGCCACCGCCTGCTCGGTCGTGCTGCCTCGGCTGCTCGGCTCGGCCTCCTTCGTGCGCGTGGTCGGCCTGAATGAGGCGCCGTGCGAGGAGGCGGAGGCGGAGGCGGCGGTCGTCGACGGGCAATTGCTGCACGACACGGTCATCGCGCCGATGGTGTCGATGCTCTTGGAGCCAGCCAGCGCTTCCGACGCCGCCGACCGACCGCCGCACTTCCGACTCGCTCTGATGGCGGCACTCGGCGCGATCGGTCGCGAGTCGCTGTACGCGCACGCTTGCTGCCGCGGCGCGGTCGTGCTGGCCCTCTCGGCGCACCTCGGCCGCGACGAGCTCTCTCAGGAGTACGGCTGCGCGATGCGCGAGCTGCGCTCCCTCGCCGCCCAGTGCGGCCGCGAGGGCTACATTGCGGAGGGGACGACCGAGGCGCTCTGCCGCGCGCTCTCGCCTCAGCTGGCGGCGGAGTGGGCTTGGTGGCTGACGGGGCGGCCAGAGGAGGGAGCGCGGGCGGCGGCTCTCCACGGCCGCGGGTGTGAGCAGGTGGCTTGTGGAGCGGCCGGAGCTGCTCGAGCCGACGGCGCACAAGCTGCTCGACACGTCGGTCAACGAGATGCTCGAGCTGGCGCTGCCGCACGCGCTGCCAAGTATCACCCTGCTCGGCGGCCTGGCGCAGAGAGGGGTGCACCGGAGGGGCGAGCGGGGCAGACAGGCGGGGGAGGCGTTGCGGCAGCTCGCGCAGCGGCTAGACCGCCCGGGCGCTGTGACGGGATTGCGGCGGGCGCGACTGGCCGCAGCGTGGAGCGACTGCAATTAGGCTCGACCACTCGGAGGCGTGGCTGCTGATCCAGCACATGCACCTCATCCTCGCGGAGCTCTTCGTGCAGCAGGCCTCCGACGACACGGGCGACCTCAACGACGCGATCCCCGGCGGCCTCGACTTCATGGTGTCTCGCGGCGTCGACTCGTCCCAGTCCCTCTCTGACATGATCGGCATGTGCGCCGAGCAGCTGCTGCAGGAGAGAGGCTGCCGCGGGCTCGGCCACATCTCCGCCCCGCCTCGGCCACATCTCGGCCGCACCTCCTCCCCGCAGGAGATGGTGCTGCGTCTCGGCCGCGCCTCGGGCGAGCGCGAGCGAGGCGTGCTGCTGCTCGCGCTCAACTTGCTCATCCCAGTCGGGCTGCAGGCCCCCCCCCTCCCCCCCCCCCCTCCACTTCTCCCCCCCCTTCTCAACCGTGCTCTTGTCGCGCGGCCGGGCTGCAGGCTGGCACGCTCGAGGACGGCCCCGTCTCGTGCTCGGCACTCGGGGTCGGATCGGCGCTCAACTCCGCCGGCCTCGTCGGCACCAACGCGCAGCTGCAGGCGTACATCGACGCCAACTTCCACATGATTGTGCAGTTCCTGCGCGACCGGCTCACCTCGCCCACGCGCAGCCTCGCCGACAAGCGCGAGGCGCTGCACGGGCTGGCGCAGGTGCTGTACATCATGCGCGGCGGCGAGCTGTCGCACTCGTGGTGGGGCGAGACGGTGGCGACGCTCAAGGTCGTGCCGTAGCAGCGTCGCCTGCTTGGTGTGGACGGCGTCTCTTCACAGCGAGAGGTGTGAGTAGGTCGTGCTGCAGCAGCGTCGCCTCCAGTCGCAGGCACACCTCTCGGCCGGCTCTCGGCCAGCATCTCGAGCGGCGGGGAGGGCGACGCTCACAAGCCCCCCCCCCCCCCCTCCCCCTCCGCCTGCGGTTAGGCGCTCGGCGTGCTCGACCAGTTTGTGCGGCTGCTCGACCCGGAGCTGCTCGCGCGCGGGCTGACGCCTCTCTTCCTGATGGCGCTGCCATGCCTCTCCGAGCACGCGGCGCAGGTGGTGCCCATCCTCGAGGCTCTCGTCGTGGAGCCGCACGAGGCGGGCGGCGCCTCCAGAGCTCCGAGCGAAGAGGTGCTCAAGAGGTGCTCAGAACACAGACGGCAGAGGCCTCTCCGCAGGCGGGCAACGTCTCCGAGGCCCTCGCCCGCGCACTGTCCGAGCTCGTCTTTGTACCAGACCACCCCGCGTTGCGCCGCGTCAAGGCGGCCCTCTCGAGCCAGCTCCGTCTCGAGCCAGCTCCGTCCGCACGGCGGGCGCCCTCGTGCCATCTCGGGCCATCTCGGGCGGTCTCGCCGTAGGCCACCCTCTCGAGCAGCTACAGCAGCACGTCGGGCTTGCGGCCGCGACTGAGCGGCTGCTTGCGCGGGTTGCAGCACGAGTCTGGCGACGTGCGGCTCATGGCGCTCGGCCAGCTTCTCGACGAGCTGCGGGGGGCGGCGAGGGCCGAGGCCGGCGCCCTCGTCGCCTCGAGCGACCCCTCCGACTGCCAGCTCGTCTCCGACCTCCTCGACGCCCTCCTCGCCTGCCTGCGCCACTCGGCCGCCAACGGCGGCGCCTCCGCCTCCTCCGACCCCTCCGCCGGCGCGCTGCAGCCGGCGCGCGACGCGCGCCTCTCGCGCGCCGCCGATCTCGCCTCGCAGTGCCTCGGCGAGCTCGGCGCGATCGACCCGTGGAGGCGGGCGCAGGCGCGGGCGGACGGTGCGGACGGCACAGCCGGCCGGTCTGTGGGGGACGCGTCGCTCGGCCGCGCCGCGCACTCGTCGGAGCTGTACAAGGGCGACATCTCTGACACGGAGCTGTGCGCGCGGCTGATGGAGGACCACCTCGTGCGCGCCCTTCGCGACGCCGCCGAGGGGCAGGTGGTGCAGGCCTCCGCCTACGCCCTCGGAGTGCTGCTGCGGCGCGTCTGCGACTGCTCCGCCGAGACGCCGACCCGCTACCAGGTGCGCGTGCGAATCTCCCCCCCCCCCCGCCCCCGCCCCGCGCCCACGGCACGTGCGACGCCCTCCCCCCCTCCCCCCCCTCTGCCTGCCCACGGCTCGTCGCGCACGCCCTGCCGCCCCACGCATAGGAGTGGTACGAGGCGAACTCGCGCGGCGACGGCCAGCCGCCTCGCTCGGCGGCGTGGCGCGCCCTGTCGGAGGAGGAGCGCCGCTCGTACGAGGTCTGGGGCAGCATCGGCGACGCCCTCCGCCGCACAGTCAAGCCGTACCTCCTCGTCTCTGCCGAGGCGAGATGCGGCCGAGAGAGCAGCCAGTGCAGCGAGAGTGCAGCCAGATTGCAGCCACAGTGCAGCCGAGCGACTAGCCGCGAGTGGAGACCGAAAGCCGCCGAGAGTGCCTCCAGAGCGCAGCCGAGCCCCCGCCGTCTCTCCAGCCCTCTGGCGCGCGGCAAACCCTCACCTCACCCTCACCCTCACCCTCACCCTCACCCTCACCCTCTCCCTCTCCCTCTCCCTCTCCCTCACCCTCACCCTCACCCTCACCCTCACCCTCACCCGCGCACCCGTCCCAGCCCTCACCCTCGCCCTCACCCTCACCCTCACCCTCACCCTCACCCTCACCCTCACCCTCACCCTCGCCCTCACCCTCACCCTCGCCCTCGCCCTCGCCCTCACCCTCACCCTCACCCTCACCCTCACCCTCACCCTCACCCTCGCCCTCACCCTCGCCCTCACCCTCGCCCTCACCCTCACCCTCACCCTCACCCTCACCCTCACCCTCACCCTCGCCCTCACCCTCACCCTCACCCTCGCCCTCGCCCTCGCCCTCGCCCTCGCCCTCGCCCTCGCCCTCACCCTCGCCCTCGCCCTCACCCTCACCCTCACCCTCACCCTCACCCTCACCCTCACCCTCACCCTCACCCTCACCCTCACCCTCACCCTCACCCTCACCCTCACCCTCACCCTCACCCTCACCCTCACCCTCGCCCTCACCCTCACCCTCGCCCTCGCCCTCGCCCTCACCCTCACCCTCACCCTCACCCTCACCCTCACCCTCACCCTCACCCTCACCCTCACCCTCACCCTCACCCTCACCCTCGCCCTCACCCTCGCCCTCACCCTCGCCCTCACCCTCACCCTCACCCTCACCCTCACCCTCACCCTCACCCTCACCCTCACCCTCGCCCTCGCCCTCACCCTCACCCTCGCCCTCGCCCTCGCCCTCGCCCTCACCCTCACCCTCACCCTCACCCTCACCCTCACCCTCGCCCTCTCCCTCACCCAGGCGCGCGGGTCGCTCGCAAACCGCCCGCCCGAGCCGTCGCCCCTCTTCCGGGGCGGCGTGCGCTACTCGGAGTGGCTCGTGCGCTGGTGCAAGCAGCTGCTCGCGCACGCGGCGCGCCACCGCAGGGACTACGGCGAGGGCGAGGCCGAGCGGGCGCCGCGCCGCCTCACCGAAGAGCAGCGTGGCCTCCGGCGCCGCGCCGACCTGCTGCTCGCCTGCGAGCCGTGCGTCCGCTTCGACCCGCAGCTCGCGCTGCAGCTGCTGCCGTACCTCGTCCTCTTCCTGCTCGCCGCTGAGGAGGACGCCGCCGCCGCCGCCGGGTCCGCCGCCGCCGCCGCCAGCAGCTGGACTGGGGGCATCGGCTCGGAGCTGCTCGTGGAGGTTGGTGCGGTGGTGTCCCACCGGTCCGGCGGGGCGGGAGGAGGAGTCTCCGCGCCGCGGCTGATGCACTCGGAGCACCCGCTCTGCTGCCAGGCCGTCTTCTCCCTCCTCGAGGGTCTGCTCGACTGGTCGAACCAGTGCCGCGCCCAGCTCTCCGCGGCACAGGGCAGCGCCTCCCTCCGCGCCAAGCAGCGGATCGACAGCTTCCTGCGCCGGCTGCCCGCGATGCAGCTCGCGCGCTGCGCCCTCGAGTGCGGCTCCGCCCACCGCACCCTACTGCTGCTCGAGCGGCGCGCGCAGACGAGCCCCGGCTGCAATCTCGGCCAGAGATCTTGGGCAGACCTCGGCCAGAGACCTCGACGACACCGCTGCTAGGCACGCGGACGAGCTCCAGCCGCCCTCGCCGGCGCACTTCCTCCACCCGAACCGCGAGGTCCGCAAGCTGCCCGCAGAGGTGACGGCGCTGGTGGCGCGCGCCTACTCGCAGACGGACGAGCCGGACGGGCGACCCTTATAGCCGAGATGTAGCCGAGATGTAGCCGAGATGTAGCCGAGATGTAGCCGAGATGTAGCCGAGATGTAGCCGAAGTACGAGCCTGGCGCCTCGGTCTCTCCCTCCTCAGAGCGCAGAGCCGTCTCTGAACTGGCTCTGATCCCGCAGGCTCCTCGGCCTCTCCCGCCTGCGCGACGCCACGTCAATCGACGAGGAGGCGCCGCGGCGCGAGAGAGGGGCTGCCGAGAGCTCGGTGAGCTGAGCGCCCGCGCTCGATTCACCGGGCCCCTCTTTGCAGGTGCTCGAGCACGAGATCAACGGCCGCTTCGGGGCGGCGCTGAGCGGCTACCAGATCATGCTGCAGCCGGGGGCGCTGCAGCAGCCCGCCGCGGCGGAGGGCGCTCTTGGCGTGCCCGGCGCCGCCCCCGCCGCCTCGACCCCGGCGACTTCGCGGCTGGAGGCGCAGCTCGGGCTCTGCCGCTGCCTGCGGCTGCTCGGCCTGTCGTCGCAGATGAAGGACTGCGCCGAGGGCGCGCTCAAGCGGTGGGGGCGCGAGGCGGAGCGGCTGAGGCTCGGCGCATGCGCGCTCGGCGCCGCGTGGCGGCTGCGTGAGTGGGGCGAGGTCTCGCGTCTCTCTGCCGAGGCGCGGAGACGTCTCGCGCGCGCGCGCGCCGGGGGGGGGGGGGGGGGCATTCTCGTGCCTTGACTCCTGAGTCGCGGTGCACCAGGCGCGGTACGTCTCTCGAGAGGGCTGGCAGTCGACGGGCTGCGCGGAGGCGCTCGATGGCTCCGGGCCGTCGACGACCGCGAGGGGGACACCCTTCAACCCCTCCCCCCCTCTCCCCTCCCCTTCTGCCCACAGGCGCTGTACGAGTTCGAGCTCGCCCGTGCCCTGCTCGCCCTCCGCAACGGCGAGACGGCAGCCGTGGCGCCGCACTGCGACTCCGCGCGCGCCGCCCTCGTCCCGCTGCTCGCGGCGGCGTCGATGGAGTCGTACGCGCACACGTACTCCTTCCTGGTCAGGCTGCAGGTGCTGCAGGAGCTGCAGGCGGCGGTGCCGCTGCTGAGCCGGCTCGAGCCCCCGGACGGGAGCCCGCTGCGCATCGACGCGGCCGCCGAGGCGGCACTCGAGGAGACGCTCGGCCAGTGGGACGCGCGCGCCGCCTCGATGTCGAGCTCGATCCAGGCCCTCGAGCCCGTGATCGCGCTGCGCGTCTGCCTCGGCCACGAGCTCCTCGCGCGGCTCGACGGCTTCGGCGAGGCGCCACCAAGCCAGGCGGCCGCCGCGGGCAGGCTGCGCGGCGAGCTCCACCGCAAGCTGGGCGGCTGCTGGCTGCGGCTCGCAAAGTCGGCGCGGGCGGCGGGCAACACCGAGTCGGCAGGCAACGCGCTCGCGCAGGCGCGCCTCCACGACTCGACTCTCGCCACCGTCCAGTGCGCAGAGATGGACTGGGCGGCCGGCCGCGCGCACGACGCGCTCTCGCGGCTGCGGCAGCAGTGCGCCAAGCTCGAGACCGACGCGCAGGGCGCGCTCGCCGAGTCGCTGCTGCTGCTCGCGCGGCTCACGGGCGCGGCCGGCGAGGCGGAGGCGGCGGAGGCGGAGCCTTGCCGGAGCCTCGGAGCCCTTCCGTAGGCGAGGCTGGCGAGCGAGAGGCGGCAGAGGTGCAGCGCATGCACGTGCGGGTGACCGAGCTGCGGCCGACGTGGGAGGACGGCCACTTCTGGCTCGGCTCCTTCCACGATCGGCAGCTGCGCCTCGCGTTGGACGCGGCGAGCCGCGACCAGGCGGCCGCCGCCCCGAGACGCCGGGCCGGCGCTCTTCCCGCTGAGGTTTCTCTTCGCCGCGCTGTAGGTGGAGGTGCCTGCAAAGACGCCGGGTGCGATGAGCTGCCCCTCGAAGCGGATCGTCGGCGGCAAGGAGAAGGCGCGCAAGAAGTTCGACGCGCACGCCGCCCACCTCGGCCCCATCATCCGCTCGTACGGCCAAGCGCTGCGGCGAGGCTCGATGCATGCCCCGTCGGCGCTGCCGCGCGTCGTCACTCTCTGGCTCGACTACGCCGACCAGCTGGCGCGGGTGGAGGCAGGCGAGCTGCCCGCGGCCGAGGCGCAGCACAACGTGCGCGCGCCCGAGGACGCGATGGCAGAGCTCGCCCAGGTCCCCGCCGCTGCCTCCGCGGCGCGTCCACAACGCGTCCATGACACGTCCCCGTAGGCGGAGCTGATCAAGGGCCTGCCGCTGCGCTCGTGGCTGCCGTGCGCCGCACAGCTCGCCCCGCGCGCCCTCATGACCCGTCCCTGACGCTTCCTGGCCGCCGTTCGAAGGTGCGTCGCTCAGCTCGTCTCGCGGACCTGCCACCGGCACCAACGCACGCGCGACATGCTGCTGCTCCTCCTATCGCGCCTCCTCGCCGAGTACCCGCAGCAGCTTGTGTGGGCCGTGATGCCAGTCGCGCTCGCCAAGGCGTCTCAGCGCAGAAGCTCGTCCGCCGCTCAGAGCCTTCCCGAGATCACCCTGAGCCTCCCCTCAGGTCTCCGAGCGGAAGCAGACCGGCGAGAAGATTGTGACGGCGGCGAAGCAGCGCCTGCTCGGCACGCTTGCGCCCAGAGGCGGCCCTGCCTGCCGTGGACGTCGCGTCACGGCAGCTGCTGTGAGCAGGCACGCCGATCTTGGAGGTGCTCCGCTCGTCGCACAAGCTGATCGAGCAGCTGCGCAAGGTGTGCAACGACGAGGCGATCGACAAGGCGATCAAGAAGGTCTCGCTCAAGACGCGCTGGCCGGCGCTGCACCGCATGACGAATTTGTCGCTCGTCGTCCCGCTGTACAGCAACCTAACGCCGGCGGAGGTCGACGGGGGCGGCGCGGCGGGAAGTCCCTTCTCTCCGAACGCGCCGACCATCGCGAGCTGGGGCAACCTCGTCGGGGAAGGGGTCGGGCTGAACCTCGGCTGTGCCTCGGCTGTACCCGGCCGCATCTTGCGCCTAGGCGACAGCGTGGAGGTGATGGGCTCGCTGCAGCGGCCGAAGAAGGTTGCGATCCTCGGCTCGGACGGCGTCAAGTGTGGCCCCCTCTGACTCTCACTCTCACTCTCCGGGGGGCACGGTGCGGAGAGCGTCTCTTTACGCCGCCGCGCTCCTGCGGACAGGTACGACTTCCTCTGCAAGCCAAAGGACGACCTACGCAAGGACGCGCGGATGATGGACTTCATGACGACCGTCAACCGGCTGCTGCAAAAGTCGAGCAATTGCCGCCGCCGCCGGCTCGCCGTGCAGTGCTACGCGGTCACGCCGATCGACACAGAGTGCGGGCTGATCGAGTGGGTGCCTCACATGGTGCAGCTGCGCTCCGTCATCAAGGGGTACTGGGACGTGCTCAAGATGGGCTTCTCGCACTCGGCCATCAAGGCGCGCCGCCGCAGTCCTCTCTCGCGCCAGGAGGAAGCAGTCCTGTCACGCGCCTCGCCACTCGGCCGCGCAGGCGCGCTACAACCCCGTCGCGCAGCAGCAGGGCAGCCGGCGGCGGCAGGGCCTCGCCGAGCTGATCCGGCAGCTGATGGGCGAGCTACCGCCGGTGCTGCAGCACTGGTTTGTCGAGAAGTTTGGCGAGCCGTCCTCGTGGTTCGAGGCGCGGCTCGCCTTCACGCGCTCGATGGCGCTCATGTCGATGATCGGCTTCGCCGTCGGGCTCGGCGACCGGCACCTCGAAAACATCCTCATCCACTCGACCAGCGGCTCGATCATGCACGTCGACTTCGCGTGCCTCTTTGACCAGGGCCTCAACCTGGCGACGCCGGAGCAGGCGCCACCCCTACCGAGCCCCCTCGGCCTTTGTTCCAACCGCCCGGATGAGGGCCTGACCGAAATGGCGCGGGAACAGGCTTTTCGGGGTCCTAGCCTTTTTCCCCCCTTTGGCATCCCCCCCCCCCCCCCACCCCCACCCCCGACCCCACCCCACCCCACACACACACCCACCACCTGAACCCCCCTCGCCCCCCTCTGCCCGTTGCAGGTGCCCTTCCGCCTCACGCAGAACCTCGTGCACGCGATGGGCATGTCGGGCGCCGAGGGCGTCTTCCAGCGCGTCTCGGAGCCCGCGTTCGAGCCGCCGCTGTCCTCGTTGACGACGTGTCCAGGACACGTCCAGGACATGGCCCCGTAGGAGCTCGCGCTCGAGCAGCTGCGCGAGAACCGCGAGGCGCGCGACACCACCCCCCTCCGCCGGCGCATCCTCCTCTCGGCCACCCCACTGTCTCCGCTTGCATCTCACCCCCTTCGTCTCCGCCCCGTTCTCCCCGCCCTTCGCCACACTGCCTCACCGCACTGCGCGCGGGCCGGCGCTGCCCAGGCGCTGCTCAACGTGCTCTCAACGATGCGGCACGACCCGCTCGTCGAGTGGCGGCGCCGCAACGCCAAGGAGGACGCGAGCGGGCGGAGCAACTCGGAGGAGGCCGAGAAGGAGCTCGCCAAGATCGACCTCAAGCTGCGCGGCGTGCTGCAGGCGCACGGCACGATGCCGCTCTCGGTGCAGGGGCAGGTGCAGCACCTGATCAACGACGCGACCAACATCTACAACCTCTCGCAGATGTACGTCTGGTGGATGCCGTGGTGCTGACGCCCTCGCGCGTTCTGTGCTTCTCTTCTTGTGCACACGGGCGGGTGTGACGCCCCCGGGCGCCTGCTCCGGCCCCATGCAGCTGTCCGGCCCTCGCTCTCGGCTCTCAGAGCCCTCGGCTCTGGGGCCCGTCCAGCGTCCTCCGGACCGGAGACTGAGACAGACTGAGTACACGCGGTACTGTCGGCACGGATTTCCTCCAGTGCAGAGCGGTGGGCATATTGTGGTGTCTCGTACGTGGGTCGGCGTGCGGGGGGCGCGTGCGCGCGGTCTGGAAGCGGGGTCGGCATGTTATCATCATGTTTTGTTTGTGTGTATATACGGGCTGTTGTACAGGGAGAGCGGAGCGCCCCGCGCTCAAGCGAAGGAGGGAGCACTGGTACGTCGTAGTCGCCGCCAATTGAGGGGAGCGAGAGGTGTGTACGTGCGACCCCCCTGGCGCCACCCGGGCAGCCGGCACTCACACACGGCGGAAGGGCGAGAGACGGGGGGACAAGTATGTACACATACAGCCGCGCCAATCCCGTGCCCGCCCCGCCGCCGCGGCTCCCACCCGCCGCCGCGTCCCCTCACTGCTCCTTCTTGGCGTCCGCCTCGGCCGCCGCCTCTGGCTTCTCCTCGCTGTATTTAAGCAGCGGGGAGAGCTCGCCTACCACCACACGTCCGCGCGCCTGTGAGACGCCGACCACGCATCGCCGTCCTCGGGCGGGGGGCAGCTCACCGCGCACGGCGGCGGTGAGCAGCGACGAGAGGATGCAGGCCGGCACCTGCAGGGGCGAGGAGGCGAAATGTGGGGTGAGGGGCGGGCGACGCGGTGGAGGTGCCATGGTGCATCAGGTCGCAGCGACAAGGCAAGCGCGCGTCGGGCGCGGCGGCGGCGGGTTGGCGGTGGGTGGGCGGCGGGTGGGCGGTGGTTGGCGGTGGGTTGGCGCGCCAGGTACAGCAGCGCAGGCTGCGCCGAGTCGAAGAAGTGCATCACGCCGACGGTGAGTCCGAGCCCGGCGACGTAGGCGGCGAAGTTCGTGTAAAAGTAGGGCTGCGAGGGGAGGGCGAGCTCGGCGTCGAAGCGGAGCATCATCGCGACAAAGATGCCTGGCGTGGGGCGGATAGGCGGAGGGAGGCGGGTGGGGCCGGGGAGGAGGGCGAGGGAGGCGGGAGGGGTCCGGCAGTCTCTCGCTTGTGATGACGATGTCAGCGAGACCGAGCATCGAGAAGGGCATGGGCGTCACGCCGAGAGCGTGGGGGAACAGGACCTCGAAGGGCGCGTTGAGCCCATTGACGACCGATACCATCACCTGGGTGCAGAAGATCCAAAAGACGTGCGTACACGAAGAGTCC